ATAATTGACTTTTCCATTCTAATTTTCCCTATTTTCAGATGCACGACGATTCAATCTGCACAGGACCCCTCCCGGACATCCTCTCAGCGCTTTCCCTGTCTTTCGCCAACCTGGGGATGGACTACAAGCCCGTGAATGACTTTATCTCCCTCACAGGAGTCCACTCCCCTCTCACAAATACCTTTCTGCAGGCCTCAGAAGACACTCCTTCGAGACATCTGCATGGAGTTGCATCACCCCCAGCACTCATTTCAGTGATATTCGCAGACCCAAAAGTCCCTCAGAGCCTCCGAGCCGGCCCCTGGAGCCCCTCCCCAAGAATAAATCACTGCAGATATTCAACTATCTTCTAAACAAAGATCCAGACTTCATCAACAAACTCCATGAGACATATGTCAAGTTCTTCAGCACAATTCTGACTTCGTTTGATCATTTTTTTTGTGATTTTTTTTCTCGTAACATTTTGAGTGAAAAGAAGTATCGATCGATCAAGAGATGGCTAATTCAATCGATAATTGGCTGAGAAGGAAAAATGATGTTAATGAAGGAGAAATGGGGCCTGGGACGTGAAGAATGTGGAAAATGTGATTCCACATTTTCCACGGAGAAATTGGTGGAAAATGCGGCTCAAACTGTAAAAACTGACGAAAAATGTGGGTCAATTTTAAAACTGAAGGAAAATGTGGAGCACATTGGAAAATATGGAACAGATTTTGTTATATTGCACGTTGAATATGAAAAAAGTAGTTTAAGAGGTAATATTTTACTGAGCTCTGAAGAAACGGAGGAAACAGCAGGAGGAGTGTCTCGTCTTCTTCGAGATCCTCAAGCAGTGCTTAAGTCGTTCCTCCAGGTCGTCATCAACCTCCTCAGAGACCAGCAGATTTCGATCTCCATGAATCCCACGACTCAATGGCTCACCGAGCTTCCTCAACAGAGTGTATGCTGTATTTTTACGTTTATGAAGTAATTATTGACGTGTATATCATTTTGTAGTTGAGGATGTGGAGAGATGATAAAATTTGTGAGGATCAGTCATTAGTAATCATGAATGATTACTAGGAATGATCTACAGTGGTATAACTGCAATAGTTCCGAGTCCAAGAGAACTCGAGACATCACCCCAATTTCAATCAAACCGGATTATTCCAAAAATTACAATGAGGAATAATTGAACATGTTTATTTATGTATTACATTTTAGTATCTTTAAAGAAAGAAAAATAAGATTCAATTAAAACGAAGCGAAAAGAAAGTTTTTTTAATTCCCCTCAAGTTCATCTTTCTCCCTCTTCTTCTGATTTTTGATGCCACACAACTCCTCGTATCGGTATTGTGTTACCAAAAACTCTCTCAAAATGTCTGGATGGCTGACGAATATAGCGAACGTGTTCACGAGACTAGCCCTGAAGTGCCTGACGAGCGATTCAGCAGACCTGGGAGGATCCAATAATCCTGACATCGCAAGACCCCTCCAGGCTGAAACTGTTGTTGCGACTGCAATCAGACGTTCTCGAATGAGATACTCGATCATGATCTTTTCGTGCCCTGGGTCACGTTGAGTCGTTTCCAGTTGGTAAAGCGATTGCACTGCAACAATTTCTTCATTCTCTTGATTGTGTTTACACCTCGAGTGTAGTTTTGTTGCGTTTGTTTTTGTTTCTTCTGCAAACACTTATGAAGCTTGTCTTTTTTTGCAATTGATGCAGACAACTCTACAATTGTCTCTCTTGCCTTGATCAGTTCACTTCCAAGGTCAGGAACTACCTCTTCCTCTGTCTTGGATGGAGTCGATTGGTCACTGATTATTGGAGCCCCTAAATCTCCGATATTCAAACTCTCACTGTCGTCCATGGTCCAACCGCTCAAGGCCTCTGCAACGATATCCCCTAGCTGCATGTTCGATCCACTCGGGTCACTCGGCCTGTCTGAGATGTTTTGAGGATTTTGGATCACAGAAGGCATATTGATACTAGGAACTCGATTGGTTATCAATGTTCTTCTGTTGGACGTTTCCGAATAATCCGATTTTAGGAAATGATCCTGACAAACTCCATATTTATCAATATTTGATTGTGCTAATACATCCGTAAATCCAAGAGCTGCTATCCATTTCTTTCGTATCCATTTAGTTGTTGGAATTTTGTGTTTTGGGGTAGTAAGGGGTGAATTACAATTTGGCACAATACACAGGGTTGCTCTATTGCGAGAAACCATCGTTAATTAGACAATAACACCTGACACAACAGTAGTATTTAGTAGTAACTTCGATCCATAGTAATCACATATGACAATTTGCATGTAACCATACCTGACCCGTCCTACCAGACATTCAAAACACCGCAAAAGGAGAGGAGGATAATGCAGAAATAGTTGAATCATATTCCCTACTTTATCATCTCCCATAAGAAGAATTTCTGTTATTCGCGGATACCGACCGAGCACTTAACAAAGCTGACTCCTCCCCCAAATTTCGNATTCAATTAAAACGAAGCGAAAAGAAAGTTTTTTTAATTCCCCTCAAGTTCATCTTTCTCCCTCTTCTTCTGATTTTTGATGCCACACAACTCCTCGTATCGGTATTGTGTTACCAAAAACTCTCTCAAAATGTCTGGATGGCTGACGAATATAGCGAACGTGTTCACGAGACTAGCCCTGAAGTGCCTGACGAGCGATTCAGCAGACCTGGGAGGATCCAATAATCCTGACATCGCAAGACCCCTCCAGGCTGAAACTGTTGTTGCGACTGCAATCAGACGTTCTCGAATGAGATACTCGATCATGATCTTTTCGTGCCCTGGGTCACGTTGAGTCGTTTCCAGTTGGTAAAGCGATTGCACTGCAACAATTTCTTCATTCTCTTGATTGTGTTTACACCTCGAGTGTAGTTTTGTTGCGTTTGTTTTTGTTTCTTCTGCAAACACTTATGAAGCTTGTCTTTTTTTGCAATTGATGCAGACAACTCTACAATTGTCTCTCTTGCCTTGATCAGTTCACTTCCAAGGTCAGGAACTACCTCTTCCTCTGTCTTGGATGGAGTCGATTGGTCACTGATTATTGGAGCCCCTAAATCTCCGATATTCAAACTCTCACTGTCGTCCATGGTCCAACCGCTCAAGGCCTCTGCAACGATATCCCCTAGCTGCATGTTCGATCCACTCGGGTCACTCGGCCTGTCTGAGATGTTTTGAGGATTTTGGATCACAGAAGGCATATTGATACTAGGAACTCGATTGGTTATCAATGTTCTTCTGTTGGACGTTTCCGAATAATCCGATTTTAGGAAATGATCCTGACAAACTCCATATTTATCAATATTTGATTGTGCTAATACATCCGTAAATCCAAGAGCTGCTATCCATTTCTTTCGTATCCATTTAGTTGTTGGAATTTTGTGTTTTGGGGTAGTAAGGGGTGAATTACAATTTGGCACAATACACAGGGTTGCTCTATTGCGAGAGACCATCGTTAATTAGACAATAACACCTGACACAACAGTAGTATTTAGTAGTAACTTCGATCCATAGTAATCACATATGACAATTTGCATGTAACCATACCTGACCCGTCCTACCAGACATTCAAAACACCGCAAAAGGAGAGGAGGATAATGCAGAAATAGTTGAATCATATTCCCTACTTTATCATCTCCCATAAGAAGAATTTCTGTTATTCGCGGATACCGACCGAGCACTTAACAAAGCTGACTCCTCCCCCAAATTTCGCTACTGCCACGCCAGTCGAACAACGAATAACTAAACTTGAAGAGGCTCGGATAACGAGAGAGACGACACCCTGTTGGCAGCGCGGCTTGAAGGTCACTATAATATTCCTGTAAATATCCACTGCAAATATCTGAATATAAAAAGTGAAAATGAAACATTTTTTTTTGTATCAATTCTTTAATGCAAAAATTACATATACGTTTTGTTATAATAATCTTAAGAAAACTTGGAAAATGTGATAACAAAGTTATTCTAAATGAACGATAGTAGGTAACTGTATTTTTTTATTCGAAGTTGATCATAGGTTCGGTAATGTCCAAGGCCTCAATCAGTAATTTCCATATCTCCATATTGAGAGTTGGGATGTTAGCAATCCTGCTGAGATTTCCATGCGCCTCTTGCTCTTCCAGGACTTCCTTGGGCACTGGCTGGATGAGAAGATCATCGTCCTCTCCTACAGAATGAAAAAAAATTAAATGTGTAACTCCATTATTTTCCCAATTGCTTAGTGATCTGGCAGAGCAGGAGAAATCAAATCAATAACGAGTTGAGTTTTTAATGAATATGTTTAAATCTAGTGGAAATGGCAAAATTATTATGATAAATATTTTGAAAACACTCAAAATCAAATGGAAATACGATTTAAAATAATTATTTTGAGCTGATAATTTAGAAAAATATTCATTTACTCATGTTTGTGAACCTGAAATTAAACAAATATTCATAATTTTATTCAGTCAAAATTTAAAAAAATAAAAATTCTTGTTTCATTTCACTATTCGATTATTTCAATGAATATGAAATACAAAAATTTGTTTGTCACAATAAAAACCTAATTTACTTCACATGCTGACGTACAATTATTTCAATTTGAATTTCTCTGACTCAAAATTCCCAAATTTTATTCAGAAATTAAATTCCGAATTTTTAAATTCGATAAAACGAGATATTCACCAACTAATAGCTCCATCCTGCCATCCCTGACCAGAAAAGCAACATGCAGCATATTCTCAACAGTCTTTCCGAAATCATGTGGATTGACAATCAGCTTAAAGAAGTTCAGAGGCTCCTTATTGCGTTTGTAATACTTTTTAGTCAAGTGAGCGATCTTGTCGACACTCTTATCGACTGGATTGTCATCGTTGGCAATGGCCACGACCTTCTCAGGCTTTTTGGCTGGCAGGAGGACATCCCTCGTGCGATTGATGAATTTTGGCTTCTTCGGCTGTACCTCACTCTTTGGAATGGGCTCCATGCAGTGGAGGAGAGTTGATGACGAGCCACATGGCTTGATAAATGCAGCTACTTCTCGTCCTAAGAGTTCCCAATTTGGCTCTTGTACTGTGTCGTCGGCCAAATTACGTACGTACTTGAGCTAAAAACCAAAAGTATTAATTATTTACTCAATTAATCATCAATTAAGTTAAATTGGGTGAAATAATCGATTAAATTTAAAAAGAAAATTCCGGGAATTCAGTTAATTTTAGAATCATTTGATCATCTCCCAGGAGTTGAAGTATTTAGAAGAAAATTTCAAATGACATTCTTTGAACCGGAGAGAATTTTCAATAAAAAAACCCTCTCCTCTCAATCTAATAATTATAGAGATGATTGGCATTCAGTTTCTTACCAACTTGCTAGCGAAATCAGTTGCACTGTAGGAGTTTGTCTCCTGATCTAGAGACTGCATGGCGCCTCTGATGACTTGTGATGAGGCCTTCATGACTTGGGAGTCCAGAAGAATCTGATCCTGATTGACGACTGAAAAAAAACAAAGGATTGATTTTTATGGATTGATTTTTATGAGTGAGTTTTTCATGAATATCTTTGAATCAATAAAAGATATCGAAATTTTTATAACAACCTTTTTTGTAACTCTGGAAATTCTTCACAAAAAAGGTCTTAATAAAAATTTCTGTATCTCCTTCCAATTCTGAGATATTGAAAACAATTTTTTTGTTAATTTCTCCATCGTCTCTGTATTAAATTTAAAAAAATATCCCTCATTATTTTTACTTTTATCATCAATATCAAGATGAATGTTCTCCACCTCCTCCACAGTCTCTGCGAGAACGTCGAGACATGCCACAGTAGCATTTTCCTCTGCAACCAGAAAAAAAAAAGTGAAAAAACTAAATCCAGACGAAAAAAGTGATTAGGGAACTTTTTATTTGTTTTTAGCTGACGGTCAATCGACCATAAAAGACGTTTGAAATTGAAGGTCAAGTGATCTCAAGGGTCTAACGACGGTCTAATCCTTATTCTTTAAAACTCACGAAGCATGCTGGTTCGATCCAGCATCTCCCTCAACTTCTTGTGACGAGCCTGAGGAGATTCATAGACAGATCTTCTCGATCCCGTACTGTTAGGACTCATCAGCTCTGGTGAACTCGCCATTCTCGTATTTTTCCCCATCAAATCTCCAAGCCTTGAATGTCTCCCGATGCCTGAGTGACAATTTCGTGTTTGTACTGGGTCTCTAGAGTCTCGAGTCAACAAAAACAGTTGGAGATGACCAGAAAAAGGTGGTTTTTTCCTCTCGATTCAAAAATATAAACAAAGGCACTGTCGGCTAACACGAATATTATGAGTAAAAACATTCGGAAACGTTCGGGAAAAAAAGGAAAAACTAACCTACCTGACTCCAGACACCTAATTGCTGTTCATAACCTCAATTATCACTTTGTTCACGTCTTGATGTTCGGGGTGTGGGTGGGACAAAATTTCAAAAGATGATTCTACAAAGTTTCCATCTTGCGGTGAAACACTGAATCTAAAATTATCTTGTTTGTTAGATGGCGCAAGTGATACTGAATTACTGTAAGGTATGTACCCTCCCCCCCTTGTTCTTGCAACGTCCCCTAGTGGGATAACGGCCAAATAGCCAAAGCAGCTAGAGCCATAAAAAAGAAGAAGAAGAAGAAGAAGGGTGGGAGCAGGGAGATTAACAACATCATTCATAACCTCTTCGGAAAATCGCTCTTGGCTCTTGACAGGAGAAGAGAGGAGGAGCACTCATGATCCTGTCATTGATTAAAAGTGAAGGAATTAAAAATAGTTGTTCTGCAAAAACTAGGATCGAGAGTGCATCATGGAGACCAACTCCACTAAGGTAGTGGCAAGATTCAAGTTGGGAGAGAGATTTTTAAACTGCCTGGGTGTTTCAGGATGACTCAAGTAATCAGGAGGACTCTTACTCGGATGTTGATGAGGTTGAACCGAAATTGAAATATGTCAGGATGCAGAATGATATCAAGGGGATTTTGGTGAACGACGCTGCGAGCTGTATTGCTGTGCATCCTAAGGTGATTCGAAGAATTTAGAGTGGAATTTTTTTATTTGTGGTTTGTGGCTGTCTCATCCTTTGATTCCAAAATATTCTTCAAAAACTGTTGTTCAACTTCCCAATTGAAAAATAATCATCTAGATGAATCTAAATCGAAAAGGAGTAATAGATAAATAAAATTCATTCCAAACAAAGAAGAATCAGAATTGCAAACAATAACATTATCAATAAAAAAAATATTTCTAGATATTCCCTAACAATTCTTTTCCAAGAAAAACTGAAGGTAAATCAAATAAAGTAGTCAAACAATCAATGAAAATCGAATACAAGTGTTGGAAGAAGAAAAAAATGGGAAAAGGGGTTAAATTAAATAAAAATTCACTCCTCATCTGAAAAATTGTTGCAGTTCCTCTGCCTGGGTTCCCACTGGGGGCGGATCCACGTTCTTGACCACCAAGGCAACAACATCCAATCAAAAACCCTCCAAGCGCACACAGTCGCAGTCAATCAAATTTCGATTGACCACAAAGGTGACTACATCGCCTCCTGCAGCGACGACGGAAAGGTCTTCATCTACGGTCTCTATACGACCGACAACAACCACAACATGTCCCTAGGTCGCCTCGTCAAGTCCATAGCGATCGACCCCAGCTACTCCAAGCCCGGTGGTTCGAAAAAATTCATAACTGGTGACGACAAACTCGTCCTCTACGAGAAGACCTTTCTCTCTCGGATGAAGCTCTCAGTCCTCTGCGATGCTGAGGGAGGAGTCCGCTCGGTTGCCTGGATGGGCCAGTTTGTCGCCTGGGCGTCTGACACAGGCGTAAGGGTCTACGATCTCAACTCCAAGTGCTCCCTAGGTCTCATTAAATGGACGACTACACCACTAGCACAGCCTGAACACTATCGCTGCAACTTACGTTGGACCAACTCTAGGACTCTTTTGATAGGCTGGGTCGACACAGTTCGCATCTGTCAGATTCGGAAACGCTCCACCCAGGAAACACCGACTCAGAACCTCGCCGAGTTCCTTATAGACCCTGTCTCCACCTTCCAGGTCAGTCATGGCTACTAACAAGTATATTGCTGCTTAAATTCCTGACTAAAATACCAAGTACACTTGTGCTTAGGAATTATTATATTTCTTCATCAAGTTGGTTGAGTAAATCTTAATTTGCCCATTACTCTTTCAGGTGGACTTCTATATATCGGGGATAGCTCCTCTGGAGACTCAGCTAGTCCTTCTGGGGTGCCCTAAACAGCCTGACGAGTCTGGAAAATCTCAGAGACCTACTCTTCACATTGTGGATCCGAAGTATCAGGACTTTCAGACGATTTGCGCCAATTATTTGACCCTGAGGGGATACAAGGAGTACTCCTGTAATGATTATCATCTAGATTGTTTGCCTGAAGAGAACAGGTTTGTGATGATTTTGGGTTTTTTTTTTTAATGGGGTATAAGTATCGGGCTTCATATATCTGCTTTACTCTTGACTTTGAACTTTTTCAAGTTCTAATGAGAATTGGATTTTGAGAAGAAAAATTGATACAAGTGTGTTTGTTCATCAGTCTCAGATTGTGAGACATAATTTCTTTAAAGTTTGACAAAAATTTGATAAAATCTCCTCTTTAACATAGTTACGACGTTTATCATGTCACTCACTCAATGTTTCAAGAAGTAAACGTGACACTATCGATCCCCAGGCTCACGAAGATGCCCTGATAATCGCCTAAACATTACATCCATTCCAGGTTCTTCATAGTCTCTCCAAAGGACATTGTAATCGCCTCTCTGTACGACTCTGACGATAGAATAGAGTGGCTCCTCTCCCACGGAAAGTTCGAGGCCGCCCTGGAGGCAGTCTCTCTCAACGACGGGAGAGATTGCAAGCGTCACACCTTGATTAACGTTGGAAGAGTCTACCTGGACCATCTTTTGACTTCTCAGCAGTACGAGGAAGCTGGCAAACTCTGCTTAAAAGTCCTAGGAAGGGACAAAAAACTGTGGGAAGAGGAGGTCTACAAATTTGCCAGGGTCCATCAACTCAGATCAATCTCCTCGTATTTACCCAGGGGTGATGTCACCCTCGATCCCCTCATCTACGAGATGGTTCTGTACGAATACCTCAAGATAGATCCTGATGGGTTTCTTCAACTAGTCAAGGAATGGTCCCCCAAACTTTATACCGTAGCTGCTGTTGTCAACGGTGTTTTGGAACATCTTCTTGTTCACAATCAGAGACAGAATGTTCTCCTAGAAGCTCTAGCTATTCTTTACTCTCACGACGGCAAGTATGATAAGGCCCTTGCGATGTACCTGAAGCTTAGGCATAAGGATGTGTTCCAGTTGATTCAGAAGCATCAACTCTGGAGCTCTGTTTATGACATGATTGAGGGACTGATGGATCTCGATGCTGAGAGAGCTATTGCCCTGGTTCTGGATAAAGACAAGGTCCCAAGTGATCTTATCGTCAAGAAACTTCAGAATAATCACAGGCAGGGACAAACAAATTTAACAAATTATACTACATATTGTTAGTTTATAACATTTCAATGAATAATGGAATGAAAAATGGAATAATATTATCTATTACTTCCCTATTGGGTAATATTTTTCAAATAATTATTTATGACTTTGTGAATCAGCAATTAGGAACATTTTCAGAATAATTTTCCGTGCTTTATCATTACTAAAATAATATTTTCTTCTTATCCCTGATAACAACAGGTACCTTTACATGTACCTCGATGCCCTGGATAAAAAGGACATGAAGGACTGCAAAGGGAAGTACCATGGGCTGTTGGTCAGGCTATATGCAGATTACTCGAGGGACAAGTTACTTCCCCTGTTGAGGAGATCTGATAATTACCCCATTCAGCAGGCTCTGGACATCTGCAGTCAGAGGCAGTTCTACCCAGAGATGGTGTACCTCCTGGGGAGAATTGGAAATACTAGTGAGGCATTGGCCCTCATGACGAGAGAGCTGGGGGACATGGAGGCTGCAATAGAGTTCTGTCAGGAGCATGATGACGAAGAGTTGTGGAATGATCTTATTAATTATTCGTTGAACAAATCAGAGAATATAACGTTTTTGCTGCAGAAAATTGGGACTTATGTGGATCCCAGGCTTATGGTGCAGAGGATTGAACCTTCCATGCAGATACCTGGGCTTAAAAAAGCCTTGATCAAGATGATGTGTGATTATAATCTTCAGGTGTCGGTGCAGGAGGGTTGCAAGAAGATACTATCTGGGGATTATTTTAATCTTCATGAGAGGCTCGTTAGATCACATCAGAGGGGAATTTTTGTGGATGATGACCAAATGTGTGGGGCTTGTCACAGGAAGGTCATTGTCAGAGATCCTAGGAATCTAGTCGTTTTTTATTGTAAGCATCTTTTTCATGAAGAGTGTTTACCGAATCTCGATAATGTCGAGAATTGCGTTATTTGTAATCCGGCGAAGGATAAGTTCAAGTGAAGGTAGCGGATTTGACACTTAATTTTTTTATTAGAAAATTTTCAGTTTCAGGGCTGTTTTGATTTTATTTTTACGAGTAGATTGAAAAGAAAATGGCAAAAGACTTTTTTTTTCAGGTGCAAATTGAGGAATATATATCAATTTTTTTTCCCTAGAATAAAATAAAAAATTGCTCTCGCGTTTTGCCACTGGAAATTATCTTCAATAATGAGATATGATAATTATTCAAAAGTATTTTTATAAAAAAAAATTCTCTAATTTTCTCATCTTTATTTGTTTAAAAATACTATTTTCTCATTCCATTGGTATTAATGACAAAGCAATTAAATTAATCTTTCAATCGATTGTACATAATTATCTATTTTAATTATAACTTTACGAAATGTCATGTTAAAAAATTTTTGGATAATTAGTTTTTTAAGCTGAAGAAACTGTTTTGTATACAGAAAATTTTTGAAATCCTTATTTTTCTTAGTTTCCTGAGCCAAAAAACAAATGTACATAATCATCACAATTGTATTATATATTGAATAATATTCGTAGGACATTGAATAAACTAAAGGAAATAACTGAATAAAAACCAGATTACTTTGTTTTTTAAAACTTTTTTTTTATTATTACTTCGTTTTTCCTTACTAATTTACAATAACTTGGTGCCTGATGGCCAAGCGTACCATTACGACATTTTTTTATTCCAATTTGTAAGTGACAAATTTCTGTCTTCAACTAAAGGTCCAGAACAATCACTTGAAGGGCGTATGAGTAGTTCAAATGGATTATACTATACAAATAATTGAGGTACTGATTTATTGAATGAATTGATGACGAGAAGTTGTTTTTTAACCATTATTGTTTCTCTTAAAAATGTGTCTTTTCTTCTTTTATTTGATGGTTTTTTACTTTATTTATTGTTTTGCGAGGGTGTCGGCCTTGGCGACGACCTCCTCGATGGGGCCCACCATGTAGAAAGCTACCTCTGGGAGGTGGTCGAGCTCACCTGCTAGGATTTTCTGGAATCCCTTGATGGTCTCAGCGAGGGGTACCAATTTTCCTGCGTGGCCAGTGAACACCTCAGCGACCTGTTCAATTAAAAAAAAAAAGGATTATTTTGTTTCATTGATGATTGGAGGGGGAATTAATGCATTTAAATTTCATGGAAATCAAATGGAAATACGATTCAAAATCGTTGTTCCGAGTTGATTATTTAGACTGAATAATTATTATTTATTTATTTAATCTTCCTGGTAAAAATGAAACGAATTGGCATTTGCTCTTATATTTCTGTCTTTTATTAATAAATTGAAAAAATGAAGGATAATTCACCTGGAATGGCTGAGAGAGGAACCTCTGGATTTTCCTAGCCCTTGCTACAGTGAGTTTGTCCTCCTCAGACAACTCGTCCATACCCAGGATAGCAATGATATCCTGAAGGGATTTGTAGTCCTGCAGAATCTTCTGAACTCCACGAGCAATGTTGTAGTGCTCGGCTCCAATGATGTTGGGGTCCATGATACGAGAGGTGGAGTCGAGGGGATCGACAGCTGGGTAGATACCGAGCTCAGCGATTGCACGGGAGAGCACAGTGGTGGCGTCCAAGTGGGCGAATGTCGTGGCTGGAGCTGGATCTGTCAAATCATCAGCTGGCACGTAAATAGCTTGCACTGAGGTGATTGAACCCTTCTTCGTGGTGGTGATACGCTCCTGCATGGTACCCATGTCAGTGGCCAGGGTTGGCTGGTATCCTACAGCCGATGGAATACGACCGAGAAGAGCAGATACCTAGGAAATTCATTCAATTTTACGAAAAATGGAAAAAAAAATGATTTAAATTTTAAAAAATGTTGATTTTCTTTTTCAATATTTCCTTCTTGTAAATAAATTGTGGAAATTGTTTAAGCTTTTGGAGAGAAATCAAATTTCAAAATTCTGATTGATGAAATTTTTTTTTTCCTTTATATTTCATTTACTTTTATTTATTTGCCTGTATCACAGAAAAGATTCCATATGAAACAAGAAAAAATTCATTATTATCATTAATAATAATTATTGTTGGATTAAAAAGACCATTTAAGGAAGTATTGTGAAACAAATTGTCTTCAAATATGCCTGATTTTTCGTCATTTTCAACATTTTTTTTTTTCGAGCTTGAAAATGAGAATTGTCAGGAGATATCGACGATTGAGGACGGTTCATTTGACCTCATTCATCGCGTTGATCAATAATTACCTCAGAACCAGCCTGAGTGAACCTGAAGATATTGTCAATGAACAGTAGTACATCTTGACCCTCCTGATCCCTGAAGTACTCAGCAACAGTGAGACCAGTGAGAGCAACCCTGGCACGAGCGCCAGGAGGTTCGTTCATCTGCCCATATACAAGAGCCACCTTCGATGTTTTATCTTTCAGGGAAATAACACCTGACTCAATCATCTCGTGGTAGAGATCATTACCCTCACGAGTTCTCTCACCAACCCCAGCGAACACTGAGTATCCACCATGGGCCTTGGCAACATTGTTGATCAGCTCCATGATCAATACAGTTTTGCCGACTCCAGCACCTCCGAAGAGTCCGATCTTTCCTCCCTTGGCATAAGGAGCCAGAAGGTCCACGACCTTCAACAATGATGGAACAATGATGGTACAGGTAAATAAAATTAATGTATTACGGTTTATGCATAATTTATAGTTATAAGTGACAAATTAAAAATGAAATATTTACCCCCTCTAGAATAATAATGAATGTAATGAAGAGTTCAACTACCTTGATACCAGTGACCAAAATCTCCTGCTCGACACTCATGTCCACGAACTCAGGAGCATCAGCATGAATAGCAGCGAGTTTGTCAGTGTCCACAGGTCCACGCTCATCAATGGGTTCACCGATGACGTTGATGATACGTCCGAGGGTCTCAGCCCCGACTGGAATTCTGATTGGAAATCCGGAATCAAAGACTGGCTGGCCTCGGACGAGACCCTCAGTACCGTCCATGGCGATGGTACGGACGGTGTTCTCACCAAGATGTTGGGCAACCTCGAGAACTAAACGGGGGGAACGGTTCTGCACCTCGAGGGCATTGAGGATTGGGGGGAGTGCCTCGTCGAACTGTACGTCCACCACAGCACCGATTACAGCTACGATTTTACCCGTGGCTGTGCCAGACTTGGGCTGGGCCGCTGCTTTCGCCGCGTAGTCACGTCCTAAGGGCATTTTTTCCATTATTTCAGTAGCAAAACGCCACAAAGGTTCAAGTCGATTTAGCCCTTAGCTGAGTTTTCGAGGAATATCTTGGAATCCAAGGGAGATAACGAAATTTTTGTCATGTCCTTTTTTGTAGCCCTCATTTTGCTCTACAACAACAAAAATTGTAACAAAAATTTTTCCATCTCCTCTAGATTTCAAGATATTCGTTGAAACGTAGTCAATAATCAGTCAGTTTTTAAATTTTTCTAGACGATTTTTTATACTGTTGATTGTGATATCTGAGATGGTATTTTGGGGGGGTTTTGGGTGGAGGTGAAGTAAACTCCACCCCAAATCAATAATATCGTGAGACTAAATGTGGGCATCCACATAAAAAGGGCCCACTTTGTCGGTTTGGAGTTACGTATATTCCGATAATCTTAGTGAGATTCCTCATAATTTGAGCGCAAAATTAACACGATTGTATGAAAAATGACGTCGGTATAGAAGATCGAAAAATCAGATTAACATTGGTTTAAATGGAAAGTGTGAACACAAAAACGTGAATATCTCACTTTAAAACATCTGAAGCGTTGAAACTGCTGATTTTGTTGAGAACATTAAATCGCGATATTTACCAAGAAGTGAGCCTCAAATTCATTGCTAAAAAAACGAGATGAGTCAATTTCCAGACTTTAGTCTCTGGCGTATATTTTCATCGCAAAAACGATGGTAAAATTTTTGTAACGAATTTTTTGTACAGGTAATAGTGAAGTACATCAAAACAGGTCCTCACGAAAAAACCTCCACATTTTCCCCCTCGAGCTGAAACCAATTCATCTAATTCTAAGACTTGAAGAAAAATTCACTGTTACATAATTATCACGTACTTGTCATTTTCTCCCTCAACTAATCACCCCCAGGCCCCCAAACCCCCCAAAATCAGGGCAAATATACGAAAGTGGAGTGAAGCCCTCCGAGCTCCTCAATCAGCCAAACCTCCCCCAGCCCAGGAAACTCGACCATCCTCGTATCCCCCAAGATCCCAAGACCCCTGGAGCAACAATCCCCAACAATTTTCATTCATCCATGCCCTCAAGAAGAAAATGTTGGTACTGTCCAAGGGAGAAGTACATAGCGGCCATGTTGGCACACGATGGAACGTCCATTTGACCCCGTGAGGTGCAGAATTATATAATCAATCTTCACAATAATCGGGGATTGACTTTTCCACCGAAAACCATCGACTCAACAATGAAAAACGATGGGTAATGATCTTGCACTGGGAGGGGCACCTGCTGAGGAGGATTTAGACGACTGTCAGTGGAGAAAGTCACGGGGAATTGGGAAAACCACGGGCTAGTCCCGGTGTGAGGGATTGAGGGAGAGACTGAGTGAAGGGATGATAAATTATCGTATTTTTATGGTACTTACGGTTGACTGACAACGTCGCTGTTGCTTTTGTGACTTCATTTTGTAGTAGAGTTGGTTTAACAGCCCTCAAGGCACCAGCGGCTGCCTTTGATACGGCACTCAACATCATGGCCGTTGGAGTGAACAGGAACGACCGGAATACCTCGAGCCGCAGATCTCATCGAGTTGGTCTCATCATGTTGGGTGGTTTAACATCCGCACACATGCGCAGAAGCAGGATTCCAGGTTCTGCGCAGAAGTGGGGCCACGTTGAGAGGGGGAAATTCCCTAGTTTTTTTTGGTCGGAGTTGGCGACAATTAGGGTGGGGACCCTAGGGAAGCTATTTTATTAATTTCAATTTGGTAATCGAAATTTTTAAGATGAATGTTCACAGATTTCTATTGATTTTAGTGGAATAATGGAAGGGAATAATATTGCAATAGTTGTGAAATAAAATAAAGATATATATATATATATATATAATATATTTCTACTTTATTATAATACATGTACATGGATGGGGTTTATTTTTCATCAATTAAAGACTGAATCGATAACATTAACTTCCCATTTCCATCATTCTTCTTAAAGCATGAAATACACAAAGATGAGAAAAAGAAAATTGTTTAAAAATATCTGTCCACCCAAATCAATTGAATAATTCCTAAGTGAAATATAAGTGGCATGCATTAATTAAAGGCGTGTTTTTTCTCATCAATATATTCATTAGGAATCTAAATACGGAATTTTCAAGCATTTTTAAAATCCTTCAATCATTGACAAAAACGTGGTCATCTTTATTTAATCCCGTCGCTTCGTTAATTTTAATGATTGAAACAATAGTCTCGCATTGACTTGACGTATATTTATTTATATACAACATATATCAGCTCACTTTGCACGTTGGATTATATATTACAGTGAAATATTAATTTCACCACTCTTTCTATTTAATTTAATTTGAATTATTCACGGACTTTTCAAAACTCTTCGTATAGATTATAATTATTTCATAATTTATCGGGGGATTCGTACAATAAATCGAGTGTATCGATAAGGGCTTTCAGCATATGAACTAATCGTTAAATATATTCTCAGTAATATTAAGTTGATATTTAAGAAATTTAAGGTAAAATAATAAATTTTCTTCCGCCTGGATTGAAATGAAATCGTTCGTTGGAATTCTTCTTAGAGTAGTTTTTTTCTCCTCTCTGAGCTGTTTCGATTTTTTTTTACATTACACTGCGGAGAATTCCTTGATTGAGTGAGCCAACGAGAGCAGCTGGAGCTGTTTGAGGTGCACCACCTGATGCTGGAGCTGGTGCTGGGGGGGCTGGAGCACCTGGGGGTGGGCCGTACTGATAAATTGGGCCTTGGGGCGCTGCTGGAGGCGATTCTGGCATAAATTTAGCTGAAATTTTAATGCAATTGGTCCCGTTAATATATCATAGCGACACCTATTATATTTATTTTTTATTTCATCAACTGAAGAGTTATCTCGCTATCACAACAAAGAGAAAATTTCTTCGAATGAAATTCACGCACGAAAAAATTTTACACTAAAACTTTTAGTTTTTGGCCCATTCTATGAAGAGTTTTCATCTTTCTATAAAACTTTTTCCATTTGAGACATTTTTTACAGAAATTCTTAGACGTGAATTTTCCAAATTCTTCTTGCTCTACTCTTCTTTTTTCATTAAAAAAAAAAAATGAAAGAAAAAAACGTGAAAAGAGACTTATGATCTCCAATTGATACTCTGGAAAAATTTCTGATAATATTTCTGTCGTGAATTGATAATAAAACCCTGCACATTTCTACTGAATTTTCCATCAAATTCGCAAGGTTTTTCTAGCAAATTTTTTCGTACGTCTCTTCAATTGATCCAGCGAGATCAAAGGGAAAATGTTGTTTCGACTATTGGAAATGAAAATTTATGTAGAGTTATAATTATCGTTATAATTGTTATGTGTCTGTCGAATCTGTGGAACGGTATGCAAAGAGAAATGAAACGGTATTAGTTGAGTTGTGGAGATTGTCCCTCTCGCTTTGGAATTGTTTCTGAAGATTGATAAATGTGAAAACGTAACAAAAACATGCAGAAGTTGAGTTTTTTAATCGAGAAAATCATGCCCTGCGGGGTTTCTTACCTTTTGAGATTTTATTTTACCATTTTAAAGATCTTCCAGGGTTTCGGCAATTCGAGATGTCCTTTTCTTTTGCGTATTCGTTCTTAGTAAAATGCTCACTGTCTCAAGTAATTATATTTCGCCAATGATTCAATGATTCAAACAGTGTATTTATCCTTTTATTATTTTGTCTTCCATTATTATGATTTATATTAATACGTATTATTGTTTAACATTCTGTAAATAATTCCCCAATAATTCTTTACAATATTTCTCTTCTCAATTGATGATTTTTCATTGTGGCTTCGTCTGTCGGAGAAAGCGTTCTCGATGAACAGAAGTTGAGAAATAAAAGGGAAAATTAAAATATTTAATAATTGAGATGTTTAAACCCTTTTCTTCGATATTATTTTAATTTTTTTATCAACTAATACTACGAACACGCTGAAAACTCCATTTTAGCGACTAAAATTCCATTTATTTTCCATGTTATCTTTCAATGCACGAGGAAACAATGTTATTTACATCACGATTATTATGAAGACACACAGCGGGTTCTAGAGTTTTCATTTTATTTATTTTTTTTTGTCTACGTAATATGATATATTTCTGCAATTTTCTCTTATTACACTTGCATAGTTGGAAGGTTCTTGTCGCCCACCACTTCAGTTATTTATATATTTATTAACTTATTATTAATAGTGGTTATAATTATCATTGTTGGGCTCGATTAACAAGGAATGCGGTTTTTAGGATCAAATCAAGATATGAAAACAATATCGTGAATTTTTTGGAGACTTTGATGAGTGTTTATCTCAGGAGAGAAGTCGTAAAACGTGAGAATCTTTTTGAATGTTGGATTATCTGAAGAACGAGGGGGTGTAGGGGAAAATGTCAAAAAAAACTTTGTTATAGAGAATTTTATCAGCTACAAAAAAGGTGTTGTGACATTTTTTTTTTGTAGAATCACTCGTTTTTTTAGATGAATCCAATTTTATCGGAGAAGATTTATCACATTTTACGAAAGAACTTGATGATCTCAATCGTTGTGTCTGAATGATATTTGATCAATTAATGACTCGATAAAAACGTTAAATACTCTTTCATTTGTTGAATATAACAAGAAGTTATCGAAATATATTCATGGATTTTGAAAAAATGAGACATTTCACAGACATTTATTTATAATGAAAGAAAGAGTGGAAGGAGCTTCCAATAGATTTCCACTCATTCGACGTTTTCCCCTATTTTCATCATTCGTAGATGATGATTCTCCATCGATATTTAAAAATAAAGTGGCAGCAGGGACCCTGACATTCTCCCATTGAATTATTATTTCATAAATCGGTTTCTGTTCGCCTTTATCTTTATCATTTCGTAAATTTTGCGTTTCATTCAACGAAATTTATTATCGTGAGTCGTTGCCACCGCTCAATCCCACTGAAAATGATTGAATAAAACATTGTAGATTTTTGGTAATTGATGATTTTTTTTTAATACGGAAAGTTCTATTCACACTTCGATGATTTTTCATGCAACATGCTGAGATTGTTATTTCGTGCACGCGTGAAAAAATTCAATAGCAAGAAAAATGATGAATTTTCATTCATTTGTTACTTCTTTGGTTTTTATAAAAAAATTATTTTCTCTCGTCTACCCTTTCGGGTTTTTACGATTTGTTCCCTTTTCACCCCCCAACCCTCTGTACCGCATTCGCCAAAGGACGAGGGAAAACCTCACTTGAAGGAAAAACCTGCCTAGTGCTTAGGTACAGTCGCATCCCTTTAACGAGACTCCTACTTGACAGTGAAACTGTAAGATTAGAGTGTTACAAATTTTCGCTCCTCAGCCGGGTATCGAACCCGGGTCGCTCACGTGCCATTCCCATACTCTAACCACACAGCCACGGCCGTCGGTCTTTGATTTTTATATTTTCCATTGAAATTTCTCGGCCTGAATTTTTAAAGGAAGACTCACTGGAGAGACACTGAAATATTTGCTTCGAGAAATGTTTATACTTCAATGACGGAATAATTTCAGTAGCGAACTAGTTGAACCCTTCAAATCGAGCTGACTATTGGCCAGTCTTCAATGAATATCTCGGAATCTAAAGCAGGCAGCAAAACTATTGATTGAGAGCTACAAAAAAGGTTATAACAAAAATTTCGCTTTTTGGATTCGGAAATATTTCTCAAAAACTCGGCTGAGAGGTACACCGATTTGAAGTGTTTTACCGCTTTGCTACTGATTTAAATGGTTGAAATTTAAATCTAATGAATTTTTTCATTCGGAAAAATTAAATTCACATGCTGGGATCACTATATCCACTGAAGAATCAATTGTCTAAATTTCGGACAGAAAAAAATTGCACGAATTTACCATCTTTCTACTTAACTTTGGTATTAAAAAAAAATAATGAAATGCAGGGAAAAGTTTGCGCCATGAATAGATAATCGAACGAAACGAGTTGAGGGTGATCTGAAAAGGATAAATAATTTTAAGAAGTATTTAAAAACGCAAGGTAGAGACACCCGCATCTCACAATTACCTCGTATCTTTTAACATTTCTCAAAATTTCTCAAGCTATTCTTCGAATTTTATCGTCGCCGTTCGACTGAAAACTCATGACGCAAAGATTTCCCCATATTTTAGGAATTGTTTTTTACTCTCAAGAACTCTTTATTCCAGATATTCACAACATCTGCATGCACTCACAGGTACATCGAAAAGCCACTTGCCAAGCTCGGAAAACCGTCCAAGAATGCAAAAAAAAAACAACAAGAATAACAAAATAATGTAAAATGATTTAGTGTCTTTTCGTGTTTTTTTTCTCATTATCCTCGAAATTTTTTCAATGAATTCGTATTTCGGGCACTCGCACGGACTTTATGTAGAATCGTAGACTATCTATTTAGTTTGAAAATCGCAATCTCATGCCATATTTCGTGGATTATATTTATTAAGAGACATAAAGAGCAATTATGAAAAATTTGATTCATTATCAAAAATGGTAATAAATGTAGATAAATGCTCAAGTGCATTGTAGTAAAAATACCTTACCGTTGAATTCAGAGTGAATGGATTTTCGAATATATATAAATTGTCGAGTGAATGATATTTGCATCCTTTCATGATTATCTTCCCCAATTTTTCATATTCACCACGGAAATAATCCGACAAGAGGTTGAATGTCATGAAAGGATGGAAAATCGTCGATCACCTGGGATCAGCTTCGTGAATGCCATTACCTACACATTAATTGTTTCAAAAAAATATGTATAAAAAAAGGACAGACACATAACAATTGGCATATTTCAGAATCATCAATGTCACGATGATTTTCATAACTCAATCAAAGAGTTGAAAATATATTCATGAACAACTTTGTTTTGAGTTTCAGTCTGTACAAAAGGAAAATACACCAGCGAAAACCTAAAGTGTAACAGAATAACATCGACAATATTTATAGGCAACTCCTAAAATTACTGTTGAATCGAGTGAAACGATGATGATTCCTCCTTATTGATTAACCTGTGAATTTTTTCTATAGAAAATAGAAGAGAGGCTATAGAATATTTTCCATTGAAAATTTCTATTGAAAAATACAACGCAGAAGTTGTGAAATTTTTCGATAGAATCATTAACTACCCAATTGTGAAAAAAAAATCTGTCTCAATTTTTCATGCTTTTCCCTCACATCATCATGTCACCCTATCAATATCGGAATCTGAAAGATGTTCCACAAAAAAAGGCTAAACAAAAACAGGAAAAAAATAAATCACAGTGACAGTTAGAGAGTATACAGATATGCGATAGATATACGAGTAGAGTAAACAGATATATATCGGTGTTAGGGTATAAATACAATATTCCTACGACAGAGACACAGTTAATCCGGTTTTATCAATTTTCGACTGTTCATATTCTTTGGCGTTTTCAGTTTTTTTTTTCTCTACCTGAACTCACTCATACACGAATGTTTCCACCAATCTGCGCGTCTACATGAAGTTCCCTAGAGGGAAGAGGGACAAACACAGAAATTCAGACGTTAGATTTGACTTTTTCTCATTAGAAAAACGACAAAATGTTATTTTTTATGATTTTTTGTGGCGTTCTTTCTTTCATTTTTTTTACTTAAGCTTGAGAATTTTATTTTATTTTATGTACGTAGGTCACGGATGTTGTTCGGGAGGATTTTTTTATATTCAAAATGGTATTCTTCAAGGTACAGCACGATGTACGAAGCTTCGGTAATTTTAGCAATTGTTGATTTGTGAACAATTGCTCATTTTTCATTTCCGTATATTTAAATGTTAGATGTTAGATAGTGTGAATCTACTTACCGACGATGATGGCCAGGATAATGAGACCGATGACGCCCATTATAATCATCATCTATACGAAAAGACAGAAGAATTATTTTTAATGACTTTAAAATTTTTATCTGAAATAAAATAGTTTAGATTGAAGGAAAAACAGTGAAATTGATGTTCAGATTGAGTTTTCAGTGAATATCTCGGAATCTATGGCAGATTTCAATGAAATACTATTTGTAGAACAGATCAAGTGTTACAAAAAAGTAGATTCAGAGACATGCCACAAAAAAATGGTGAATAATATGAATCGATTTATCTCGTTCAATCATTTTCCTATTAAATCATACATTTGCTCAACGTACTTTTAAATTCTGCAGCCAAAACTTTCTTTTCAATTTTCCTGCTTGCTGTTCGAACTGCGAGGCACCTTGTTGAAGGGCATCTGTTAAAAATTAATGAGATTATGGCATTAGAACGTGGAGTAGAAAAACATGATCGATATAAGTGGGTGGAAAAAATGGACCGACTTCGAGGATCTTTATCTCAAAATTTCCAGAGTGAAATTATATAAAAATCAAAGTTTATTTTGAGGCCATTTTTTTCATCTTCAAAATTACAACAGACTCGTCAAAGTCGGACTGTTAGTCAGGATCGTCAGGAGATACATTATGGTACATTGAAGGGCCATTCCAAAAGCGAAGCAATTTTCAATGAATATCTCGAAATCTAAGGGAGATAATAAAATTTTTATCATGACCTTATGTGTCGAGCGAATTGAAAACCTCAAAAAATATTATTGCAAAAACTTCATTATCTCCCTAAGATTCGTAGATATTCTTCGAAAACTCGGCTAAGATTTTATTGATCCTTGTTTTTTTTCCTGGAAATTTCCCTGGATTCTTTACCGGCTCGATCATCGAGTTCAGATAATTTCTGATCACGCTCGAGAACCTTTTCGACGTTAGTCTTCATGATGTCGACAACTTCGTCAACTTGCGCTTGTGTCTGCTGCAATCGCTTCTGGGAGGCAATCTGTTGGGGTGTCCTAGGCCCACCAACGATTCCATCACTACCTGCTCCCGCAGCTGCATCTGGTGCTAGACCACCCTCAGAGGCCCTAATGATTTCACATTTGTTAATTACAATAATGTCACAAAAGTTTCATAGAAAAACCTTTTCTAGAATTTGCCAGAAAATTCTATAGAAAATACCTCAATGTCTAGCAAATTCGATGGATTTTTCTATGAAATTTTCATAAAATTTTCTATGAATAGAAGAAATTTCAATATTAATGTAAGCGGTTGGAAAAATTATTTAGTTGGAAGGTTTTTTATATTTTTTCGTCCAAGTCCTCACCATAGAGATAATTCCCTATTTATTCAGGGTAATACCTGTTATCATATTTCGAGGGAAATTAAATTCATCAGGTGCATTGAGATATATATTATTATGAGCAAAAGGGTCAAAGGTCAGAGGGACGTGTGGAACGTAAAAGGCCAGAACGCACTCCGGCAGGTGTTCATAAAATTGGATGAATTTTCAAGTGCTGGATGAAAACAGATAAATTTTGTGGTGAGGTGGAAAACCGGAGTAATAAAACAGTGGTATTACCTTCACGTTATCTCGAGAACTAGTCATTGTAAGAGGAAATGGAAAAACAAATTTTTTGCAGATACGAAAATTTCTAACAAAAAATATTTTCTAATATTTTCCCCAAGAACTGATGATTAAAGGACTAATTATTGATTAATCCTGACAAATGGTGATTTTTAATGAAGAAATTAGGTCTTGCATATCTTGGCTTGCAAAAGCTCAAATAATTTAAATTATTCGTTAAAATCAATAATTTAAAATTAACGCAATATAATCAACAAATTGACTGATTGAATTCTACAAAATGATTATTTGCAATGCAGAAATCACAGTTTTGCTCAGGTATTTCTGTTTCCAAATTTTAATTAATGAATTGAAATAAAAAAAAGATGACATTTCCAACTTGAGTATTTCTAGAACGACTGGATCGAAGGAAAAATGTCAGTAGAGCTTAATTAATTACCAAATTCCCCACCTAAAAAATGCCTGTTGGCTTTTATATTCAAGACATTCTTTTGATATTCAAGCTGATTAAGAATCGACTAGTTACATTTCATTCCTCACACCCAAATTCGACTCACGAGTTTTCTTATCGAGCGTTCCAGCCACGAGAGGCATTATGACATGACTGATTCATGAGGCACCCCGCAGAATTGATCACCCAAATTTAATGCTTCATTCCTCTGATTTTGGGCTCAAGTACTTTTCTCAAACCAATTTCCCTCAACTTTTCCCACTGATTTAAGGTGGCAGGGCTGAGTCCTATATATATATATATATATATATATATATATATATATATATATATATATATATAACACACCAAACTGCCATTGCCATCAATGAAATCGATTGCACTATTCGCGATATATTGCGTTGAATTTTTTTATATCCCTCAAAAAAAATTTATTTTTCCTTCAAAATTCCCCCTAGTTTCCGTAAATAAAAAACCCTCTCCAAAAGAATATGAAATCCCCCCCCCCCTCTAAAAAAAAGTAAAAAAAAATCCAATTCAATCAAAATCTCCAGTCGATGCGATAAATTGTAAAAAATAATTTTGAGTGTCAATAGCAGTTTGCAAATTGCTAAACCGCAGAATAAAAAATATTTTCCCATAAACATTAGATGGATTAATGAAAATCATGGTTCAGCGAAGAAATTCTCACGAAATAAGAGGTAAATAATTGATGATGAATGAAATATAATTTTTCCATCAATTTTAATTCCAAAATTAATCCGAAAAATGAGCCATTTTTTTGTCGCCTAGAAGGGGGTGTTTTACGCCCAAAGGTACTTCAAATAAGAAATAAAATACTCACATATTTCAGATTAAATAAACCTGTGAATAATAATATAGTTAATCACTGACTGAAACAAACTCCTGGATTTTGGCTTTATTAATTAAAAATAAAAATTCACCCCAGAAACGTTGACACGTAACTTCCAATGCGAGACTGCCGTTCACAGAAACTCCCCCGGTTATTGATAAATTCTCGGGGAGGAGAGATTCACTTGAACCGTAATCTCCCTGCGATATATCGAGTTGAATGTTCGACTCTCGAAATTCAAAATGAACAAAAAATCTCGGTGGACTTGTCGAAAAAAAATAACTTTAAAGAATCGGCAAATGACGAGGAAAATTTGTTTTTTTTCTCCTTTGCAAGCGGATTTTGGGTAATTTATTAGGGTTGAAAGGGCCTTAAGTGTCTGGTGGGAACTGGGCCACCGCTCGATAAGCCATTCGATAGGTCGCAATGATAATCGGGGTGCGTTTGCGCATTGCACTGCGCAGGCGTGGGAGAGCCAGTCAATAACTGTGCCATTTTCGTCTCCTTCCACCCCCTAACGGGGGTGCCCAACTGCCCACACGCGACCCACACTCGACCAATGATTGTCACTGGGACACAGAGTAGAGGCAGTTGCTCATGCGTTCGAGGGCTTTCGAACTCTCCAAGGATTTTGTCCATTTAATTATGTGGGGTGAGATCAAGTGGGTAGTTTAGTCGGTTAAAAATCTGAGGAGTACCATTTTTTGCAGAGGTTTTTGGTGAGTAATTATTCGAGCGTTTTTTTAGGTGATTTTTTGAAGAATATTCCCAAATCTAAGAGAAATGATAAAATTTTTGTAATCACTTTTTTTTGTGGCTCTGAATAATTTGCTCTACAAAAAGGTTATAATAAAAATTGTTATGAGGCAATTGCTATTTGCCTTAGGTTCTGAGATATTCATTAATAACTGACCAATAGTCGAAATAAAATTGAATTTGTTGNAAAATAATTTTGAGTGTCAATAGCAGTTTGCAAATTGCTAAACCGCAGAATAAAAAATATTTTCCCATAAACATTAGATGGATTAATGAAAATCATGGTTCAGCGAAGAAATTCTCACGAAATAAGAGGTAAATAATTGATGATGAATGAAATATAATTTTTCCATCAATTTTAATTCCAAAATTAATCCGAAAAATGAGCCATTTTTTTGTCGCCTAGAAGGGGGTGTTTTACGCCCAAAGGTACTTCAAATAAGAAATAAAATACTCACATATTTCAGATTAAATAAACCTGTGAATAATAATATAGTTAATCACTGACTGAAACAAACTCCTGGATTTTGGCTTTATTAATTAAAAATAAAAATTCACCCCAGAAACGTTGACACGTAACTTCCAATGCGAGACTGCCGTTCACAGAAACTCCCCCGGTTATTGATAAATTCTCGGGGAGGAGAGATTCACTTGAACCGTAATCTCCCTGCGATATATCGAGTTGAATGTTCGACTCTCGAAATTCAAAATGAACAAAAAATCTCGGTGGACTTGTCGAAAAAAAATAACTTTAAAGAATCGGCAAATGACGAGGAAAATTTGTTTTTTTTCTCCTTTGCAAGCGGATTTTGGGTAATTTATTAGGGTTGAAAGGGCCTTAAGTGTCTGGTGGGAACTGGGCCACCGCTCGATAAGCCATTCGATAGGTCGCAATGATAATCGGGGTGCGTTTGCGCATTGCACTGCGCAGGCGTGGGAGAGCCAGTCAATAACTGTGCCATTTTCGTCTCCTTCCACCCCCTAACGGGGGTGCCCAACTGCCCACACGCGACCCACACTCGACCAATGATTGTCACTGGGACACAGAGTAGAGGCAGTTGCTCATGCGTTCGAGGGCTTTCGAACTCTCCAAGGATTTTGTCCATTTAATTATGTGGGGTGAGATCAAGTGGGTAGTTTAGTCGGTTAAAAATCTGAGGAGTACCATTTTTTGCAGAGGTTTTTGGTGAGTAATTATTCGAGCGTTTTTTTAGGTGATTTTTTGAAGAATATTCCCAAATCTAAGAGAAATGATAAAATTTTTGTAATCACTTTTTTTTGTGGCTCTGAATAATTTGCTCTACAAAAAGGTTATAATAAAAATTGTTATGAGGCAATTGCTATTTGCCTTAGGTTCTGAGATATTCATTAATAACTGACCAATAGTCGAAATAAAATTGAATTTGTTGTGTACGTGGTGATTAGAATATTAAATTTCGCATTATTTTAGATGACTCTCACGAAATGGGTAGTACGGCTGTGCAGAGCGGCAATTTTCTACTTGCTCATAACGTGTGGAGACACCATCTCGTGTTCTCGATTATAAGAGTTGCGAGTTGTTCGAAAATCAAGAGAAAATGGAGGGATGGGGTGAGTACATAATTTTTAATGAATCATCCACAGAAACTATTAAAGTAGAAAATCGAAATGAGTGAATCCGCCTTCAGCATAAGTGTTTGCTGAATGGTACTTATTTCGATTTATGTCTCAGGATGAAGTACTCTTTCGAGTTTATTATTTCCGAGGAGGGCTATCCTTTGACCTTTCTTTCGAAGGGGACAGAAAGACTCATATATTTTCCATGAATATAAACATTATACTCAATAATATTAAACACCTACACTAGTTAATTTGAAACAGCAACGGGGTTTCCCCGGTTGGGGGTAATTGCGATTGTTGAGGAGAGTTTTTGTTAAAGTGCTTTGGACCCTCTATAACCCGATATTCCTCAATTTTTTATATAAAATTGGTCAAGTGGTAAAACATGAAAGAGAGGCGATTTTTTTATTGGATTAGCATTAAAATATTTTTAGACTGAGTGATTTGAGGGGAAAATCTCAAAGACATTTTTATGTTAATCCATTCGTTCCCGAGATATTTCAAATTGAACAAAACTTTTCGTTCCCATTAAAACGAAGACAAGTGAAAATTAAATGGTAATTATCTCAGTAATGGGGCATTTTACATAAATATATCTACATCTACTCATTCCCATTCTAATACAATACTCTATATTTAGAGACAAGATCTATGCGCGCGCTCTCGTGCGCACTGATCTATTCATTTGTTGAAATGAAGAAATGGAATTCATTGAATTTCAGTTTCTCATGAATACCTTACAAATATTGATAATGAATCAAAGAGAATTCGACTAGTGATTGAAGTGAATAGCGAAGTAGAGGAAAAGAATCTATAAAGAATTTTTCATTTTCAATTAATTATCTTCAATTTTTTAAAATAATCGGTCTCCATAAAAGGACAGAATTTATTCATTTCACCGATGATATATATCGTCGCTCTAAAGGTAAAGGGGCGTAAGTGTCAGGAAACAGTGTTTCCAAAGTGAAAGAGACGTATGTCCCAAATTGATGGTTTTTATGCTTTTCATACAATTTCTGAACAAAAACCTATCAACGAAAATATCTCTAATAAACAGGCGTAATGACCAGATTTTAATGGGACAGGAGCGTATCTGCACACTTACGCCTCTTTCATTTTAATCAATAAATCACACTTACGTCCTTTTAGTGTTATGTATGAGGCACTTTCCATGACGTATTCATTTTTGAGTTAAAATGAGGGGCGTATGTCCCCCTTACGCCTCTCTCCTATTATAAAAGCAATTCTCTTCATAAATTACTCCGGGCTCTTCATCCTGGAAGATATTCACAAAATAGTAGTTAATTCTACCTTGAATCTATTCTTTTTCTCTACTCCTTCGGAGCGTGCCCAGAAAAGGTTTCGGGTTGAAACATCTAATTTTCGATGTTGTTCGAGATTCTTTTTTTAAATGAACAAAGGGTTGAAACGGGTAAAATTTGATTTCTATGATGTGTACATTCTACATTCACGAGAAGACGGGAATCGAGTGGACAATGGAGTAATCATAATACATTTCGAGACTTTCCAATGAAAGGGAAAAATACTTATTTTTCTCAGTATCATTTGAATTTCTGCTATGTACGGGAGTTACGCCTCTTTGTGATTATGATTTTTTAGGATGGATAAAAAATTGGATGAATGACTAAAAACAAAGGGGCGTAAGTGCTCGACTTACGCCCCTTTATTATTAATTTTCCTTCACGTAAATTAGAATATTATCAGTAAGGATAACAGTAAAGGGGCGTAAGTACCGGACATACGCCTTCTTAGTGTTTACTGATTGGACTTACGGCCACTTGGCGTAAAAAAAATCGACGAAAAACCTAAGATATAGACAGAAAACTCCATTTCCGAAGAAAAAAAAACATACGCCCCTTTGGTATCGAAAAAAAAAATCGAAAAATAATGGCACTTACGCCCCTTTACTTTTAGAGCGACGATATATATATATATATGACGTGAAAAAAAAATTTACCACTGAAGAATTTGAAAATACCGCGTGTTTTTTTTTTGTGAAGAACTTCGTGTCACTATTGACCAATCAAAATTAAGGATCAGCGGTCAGGTTTCGAGATATTTCGATATAAAACAACTTCACGTTTCTTTCATCTTTAGTAAATAGGATTATTCCTATTTGAACTCATATGTGTGAGATCTTCTAAGAATCGAATTTCTGTATGACTGATCACCCGAATGACGTCACCTTCTCTGACGCCATTTTACACTGAGTAGTTCCATCAGATCACCTAATCACACCTTGTCGCATACGCATGAGACGATTGGATTACTACCGCTGATTTCAGTTCTTTCATTAATTGTCATCCCCTCAATTAAGAAAATACTTCATTCACGTAAGTAACCCTGATTTTCTGCATCTGTTCATCCATACTTTGCATTGAATACATGAGCTAGATATAATTTTAGGTCAATATGTTATTTCTGTTTATGACTTAATCAAACGTCAAATAAAAAAATCCGTTACAAAAACTACTTCATTCTGCAGTAATTCAACATGAACAATTTCTTGTTCGACTCAGAATTGAGTTTATTTATTTTTCCTTTAGCGCTGGTGAAAATAGTAAACAAAAAAATTCATTAACATGCATTGACAGTGCATTCACTTGTTGCATCCAATTTGAGGTTATGGGGCGTGTATGTCAGATGCTTGGAATATTTTTCTTTGATTCATTTCCTCTTTTGAAATTAATGTAATTGAAAGAGGATGAGGTTTTGTACATGTTTGATGGAGTGGATTATTATTCAAGAGATTAAATTTTTCTATGTATTCCAGGATGGACGGTGGAGGATACTCGGGTGATGGCGACCTTGGGGGCCCAAGGACACCTCAGCAGGCAGTGTCAACAAAAAAATTGCAGCAGACACAGGCAAAAGTTGACGAGGTGGTGGGAATTATGAAGGTGAATGTCGAGAAAGTCCTCGAGAGGGATCAGAAGCTCTCGGAATTGGACAATAGGGCTGATGCACTGCAACAGGGGGCTGCACAGTTTGAGCAGCAGGCTGGCAAGCTGAAGAGAAAATACTGGTGGAAAAATCTTAAAATGATGATCATCATTGGGATTATTTGTGTTATTATTCTCATCATTATTATTGGTAAGAGCAAAATATATATATATTTTTTTTAATTTTACTCTGTCAATTTCAAGATTTTGAGGATTAAAGGGTGTCAGTTTTGCTTTTCTCTCTTCTATTCATGATGGAGAAAACTCCGAAGTTGTATAATCATTTGTATTTTAGAGTATGGTATTTTCAATTGTTTTTGTTTTTGTTCTAGTGTCACTAGTACCGAGCTCAAGTGATACAGACGCCCAGTAACCGAGATACAAAAGAAATCCACCAGGACTTGGAATTCTATCCTGAGGAGTTTCTTTGAATAAGAGTGAAATATATATATATATATTTACAGTTCACGAGGTGCCTTATCTTCCAGGTATCATCGAAAAAATTAATTAAAAGATCAATATTGATTAACAGAAATATAATTGTAAAAATATGATAAATCAAATGCACTGTTTAGTAGAGGAGTGGTAAAACGTGAAAATTTCTCATTTTCGTTGATTTTGTATTTATCTCAAGAGCCGGAAATATCAAGAACAATTATTTGTAGGGAAAGAAATTTCCAACGGCAAGTGCTTCGTGACATTTTCCCCCGGAATCCTTCATTACCGAGATAATTGCCATTTAATTTCCACAAGTTTTCATTTCAATGAAAAAAATCAGATTTTCGTTAATTTGAAATATCTCACGGGCGAATGGATTTTAGGGAAAAATGTCTAGAACTTTTTTGCGGTTGTGCAAATTCTCCACAAAAAAAGTCCTCTGATATTTTTTCCCCTCAAATCACTCAGTCTAAAAATATTTTAATGCTAACAAAACTAAAACTCGCCTTTCTTTCACGTTTTACCATTTCACCAATTTTATATTTAAAAACATTGAGGAATATCGGGTTGCAGAGGGTCCAAAGCACATTAACATAAACTCTCCTCAACAATTGTCAATTACCCCCCAACTGGGGAAACTCCATTGCTGTGTCAAATTAACTAGTGTATGTGTTTAATATTATTTAATATAATGTTTATATTCATGGGAAATATGAGTCATTCTGTCCCCTTCATCATCATCCCAAAATTACAATCCAACAAAAAATAGTAAAACAACTATTCACCATAATTCAGTAACCCGTTAATAATGATAAAAGAAAAAAATTATTAATTCAATTCTTTACGACTTGAATTTTGACAAAAAAAAAATCAATGGACAGTACTCGTCGGGAATGACAAACTCGAAATAATTATTTCAAAATGTATTTTATTCTGAGAAATTATTCGAAATAATTTTTTTTAAGAACTTTCCCCCAACCATCTTCCTCCATCACCCACAAAAATCTAAATAATCCCGCACTCTCCCCACCAAAAAATCTGAAAATCGTTCCCTCAATATTATGACACAAACGATAGGAGAGGGAAATGTGGAAGGTAAATAACATAGCGGAGAGTGATCTCACAGTATCATGGCAATTTTCGATATTCTTGTAAACGACTCAAGCAAATCACAGTCTGTTTATTCATTCACCTATCAGTCGACTCACGACCGTCTCGTCGTACAGACGGCGCGCGTCTTGACGCTCCCGTGTCATCAATTTTACCATCAATTAATTTTCAATGGAGTGAGTTTAACACTAGTGAAAACATTTTAATCGATCATGGCTGCGTGAACGTTGGTGATACGAACGCCAGTAAATGGATTTTTTTGTAAATCAAAAAACGAAATAGATCGATCGATCGATCGATCGTTACTCTCACTGAAGTGTTTTTATTTATCTTGAAGGAGGTGGAATCATTTTTAATATCCACGCCTGTCATATACCTTGACATTATCGTGAAGGAGAGCAATATAACAATGGAATTTTGATGGCTTTTTTCGAGACGTTTTGAGAAATTGTCTCGGATATTTATCGGTGAGGGCAATTTATATTCGGTTTACACTACATGTGACGTAAATAATCGAAGAAAAAATTTCAAGGCTCGGATAAGACGCCTGCCTGATTCGGCCGCTAAACGATAAGAAGACGACTCATTTCAGTTTCTTGGTTGAAAGATTTTCAAAGACAAATCCGAGAATTTTTCATTTTTCTATTGACACCACGTGGCTGGGAACATTCCAGAATGCTGGCGAGTGATAATTTAATTTGAACTACTGGATCGCAGGATTTTTTTTCCAAGGGAGAAAATGGCATCTGTCGAGGCGAGGAACGACAGGCAAGAGCATGGATTGGGTTATCAGAATACATTGGTGAGTTTTTAATTACAGGCTCATTCGGAGAATGCGGATTTCGCTGGAAAACAGGGCTTCGTGGGGATGAGAATTGTTACAGATAAGGGAATTTGTTATTTTATGTCAATGTTAGGAGAAATTTCCACATTTTTTGTTGTTGCTCATTTGGAAGGGGAGTGTTGAATCCCTTTCTGGAGTGATAATTTTTTTCTATTATTTATCCAACCGTTTATGTTCATCATTTTACATAATGGAAACAAAAAAAAATTCATTCATTAAAAAAATTGAATTAACTATATTGGTTAAAAAGAGTGGTTCTAAAATGTTTTTTTTTATAAGCACATTAAAAATTTATCACTTTTCTTCGTATGAATAATTGAATTTAAAAAATTGCAATTTTTATATGAAATTTTTCTTTATTCGGTAAAAAAATACAGAATTTATTCCTTAATAATCGATGCTGATGTGCCATTTCCGTGCCAAACATGAAAAATCTCAGATATTTATCAATACTAATGAAAAAATTCATACGATAATTTTCATTTGAAAAGAAAAAACAAATAAAATTCAACTTTTAATTCTCAATGAATGAAAAAAATAGAAAAAAAAATCTTTTTCTGAGAATTTCATTTTCTTCATTCACAAACAAAATGCAGCAAATAATTAATGAATTTTCCTCAACTGCTGAAATTTTTTTATAAAAAGGGATCAAGACCACAGAGAACTTGATGCGCGTGGACAAAACCAGGATAAAATGTCCCAGGTGTTTACCGACATTAGAACGAATGAATAATCAAAGAGTCATATGATGGCAGAGTGTAAGCTCTTATCACAGCTTAAAGGCCATCGAGTCGATGTTTAATAAATCCCAACGTGATTAGCGTGCGCGTGTGGGTTCAACTCGACTCGCCGATCAAAGAAATCATATGCGTGCCCATTTGAACTAGTGACGTCATATTTGTTATCATTTATTAGCGGTTGGGAAGACCCAGGCAATTAACACCTGCGGTTTGGTGTGGCCAGGTATACTCCCGAAAACTGAAATAATCACGTGCTGAAAAATAGTTGTTTTTTTTTTTTTTTTGGAAGCACGTGATTAATGGGAATACCTCAGTGTCATATGACTAGACATTAATTTTCGAGAACAGTCAAGTCATCTGTTTTTTTTTTTTCTAATATTCCGGAGTAATTATAGGTCTCGTGACTTGTTTGCTTTCTTTGAATGGATTATAGGAGGTGGGGCAACATTTTTTTGTGAGATAAGTTTTTGAAAAAAATTTCTCGATGACCATTGAGAAGTCATTTTTTTTATCAACAATTATTTTTAATGTAAATAAGTGGATAATTGAATTTTTTTTAATAAATGAGTTTTAAAGCATAATTAGGAAGCATTTACTCCATCACAATGTTTTTAAACCAAAAAATTATTCACAAGTCTGAAAAAAGTAGTTTTCACAAGAAGTACTTCAACTAAAGCTGATCCCTCGATTTTCAATGTTTTGCATTGAATGCAAAATTTATTTATAAAATTGAACGTTTGCGATTGAAAATTCAAATTTACCGCCTGATACCACATTACTATCTCTCACGTGAAACCTACATTCGGGAGTGAATGAACCTCTCCCCTCGCGATCTCTTGCGCAATCTCGAAATCAAATAGATTACGTTACGTATCAGACCCGATGGAACTTGAATAATTACCACCGTTCATTATGACAGCAGATTGGAAGCACTGCGACTTTTGGTACTTTGCTTTTTATAAAGGGAAAGGAAAAGGATATGTAACCAGTCAAGAATAACAACAACAAAAACATTTATTTGATCGTGAGAATTCCAAGTCCAGTGCGGTAGGTTCTATTAAAGAGACAAGCCACGAGTGTGATGAGCGATGAAGGGGAAATGTCTGATATTATTCAACACTCAGCTGTTGGCCGCTGAGTCAGAATAATCTAGTGTCAGTATTTGAATCCTATCGAAAGTGACATTACGAGGCTGAATCTATCGTTTACGCGATTCTCATGTCGTACAACGCAATGTTTCGCCGCGCGACGAGAATGCGCCGTGCATCAGGTGATTCTTTCTGCAGAATGCGAAGTGCTGGGGTCACTGGCCCTTTGATAACCAAGGACGAGGTCGTTAGATTTGTCGCCGAGTGTATGCAGAGAGTAGGAACTGATGGGAATCACTCGAAAATTGTTGCGCATCATCTCATGACGGCTGACTATCGGGGCCACTTCAGTCATGGCATGAATAGAATGCCGATGTATGTGAGGGATATCGAGAGCAAACGAACCGATCCGCATGGGGAACCCAAGATCATCAATGATTTTCAGGTGCTTATGATTTCTTGACGGCTTATTCTAACTTATAATTTTTTAGAGTTGAACAAAATTTTACGAAAAATTTGCCGTATTCGGAATTTATCAATCTATGACGGATTAGTTTTTCAAGAACATGGTAAGAACCAGAACCAGGATTCAGGGGGTATTTAATTATTTATTACATATCTCATAAACTAGCTGTGCAACTGTACAGCTACACGTTAGTATTTTTGACGTGGATATGTCTATGGTTTCGTTTTGGGGGGTCACTCGGCGAAAAAAATGCGTATGCAGCCGCGCCATCTATCGGCGATGCTTAAAAGCGTAAATTGAGTTTTCTTGCTTGCAGCGAGAACTGAGATTTTCCTGAAGACGAGAGTTAAATCTCCAAGGCAAATTTTTCAATAAACGACTATCGATGGTTTAAAGCTAAAGATTCCTCTCGTAGAGTGCTCCCTCCCTCCTCTTTCCTCCCCTCATTTCTCGTTTTCGAATTCTGGTTCTGCTACTCCGTTCCCTTTTCTTCTGCTGCTCGAAGCGAAATGGCCCAGGCGGATTGGGTGCACTAAATTTATAGAAGGTTACTGCGCAAAAACTCACCATTGGCTAAAGACTTAATGGTGGGAAGTTAGAAATCTGATTGGCCGATGAGTCGATGGTGGGGAGAAATCTTCTGATTGGCCAATGAGTCGATGGTGGGGTTAAAATGATCCAAGGCCGAAGACAGTGCCATTTCTCAGATAAGGAGCGAATGAATAGAAAGCATCTTAATCAACTAAGTCTTTTTAGAGCAATTTCTCATAGTATAAAGTGATTAGAAAATTCGAAATTTTTTAAATTCTTGAGTATTTCCATGGAATTTGTCAATTAAGCAGGTTCTAATTATGAATCACAAATTTTTCAATTTTGAAATTCTTTATGAAAGTATTGAAACGTATAGAATTGAATATAACATTAAATTCTTGTGTCGAATTACGTTAAAAATGATACTGCCAGTGAGGATTTCGGTCCATAGACGTATCCACGTTAAACATCATCATGTATGAAAACATGCATGGAGACAATCTTAAAAAAAAAGTGTGTCCTAGGGATCTTATACTTTAATCCTAAAATAAAGGGGGAAATCCCACATCTCTGTGATGCCATCACTAAGCCACACCATTAATTACCCCGCAGGCAACAGCCCTGGTGGACGGTCAAAACGGTCTAGGCCAGGTGATCGGAAAATTCAGTATGGAATTAGCAATTAAAAAGGCGAAAACCTTCGGTATTGGCATGGTTTCCGCACGTGGGTCGAACCACTACGGCATTTGTGGTTACTATAGCCTGATGGCCACTGACGAATGTTTAATAGGCTTCACTTGCACTAATACTAGTCCCTTGCTCGTGCCAACACGATCGACAACAGCATCACTGGGTACCAACCCCCTTTCTCTAGCGATGAAAACTCATGATGCCAGGGATGAATTCGTGCTGGACATGGCGACGACAGCCGTAGCCCTTGGGAAAATCGAAGTGGCGGTCACCAAGGGTCAGGAAATACCGGAGGGCTGGGCCTTGGGTAAAGACGGAAAAGTAACGAAAAACCCAGCTGAGGCTTATGAAACGACGAAGCTCATGCCTCTGGGAGGAAGCCAAGAGAATTCTGGCTACAAGGGCTATGGGTTGGCAACCATGGTGGAGGTGCTCTGTGGCGTTCTCTCTGGCAGCCATTTTGGAAAGAATATCAGGCGGTGGAAAGAGGACGATCGCATCGCCAATCTTGGCCACTGTTTCATGGCAATTGATCCAAAGGTTTTTGCTCCCGGGGCTGGGGAGAGGTTGGGGCAGCTCCTGGGTGAGCTGCGAGAGCTGCCAACGGCTGATGGCGATGAGGGAGTTCTTGTCGCTGGGGATCCTGAGAGGAAGGCTATGAGGAGGGTTGATCAAGAGGGGGGGATTCGGTATCATGAAAATCAGATCAAGATTTGTGATGGGGTTGCGAAAAAACTGGGGGTCACTCCTCTGCGATCTGTTTAGATAAAACTATTGCATGGAAATCAATTGAAAATACCATTCAAATATTCATTACCAATTTTGAATTAATAAATTATAATTTCAATTTATGCTTAACAATGTTAAAATTTATTCATATCTTCCTGAAACTGTGTTGAGATTTTGATATATCTTGTAGGTATAAAAAAATTGTCTTAATAAATTTCATAATCTTCTAATGAAATAAAGTGCCGACTTTTTTCAGTATTCCTTTGTAGTTTGAGATTAAATTGTTTTCCTCGAAATAAAGTTCTGTTGATCTATTGTTAAATACTTCACAAGACTCAACTCACCAGTGAGCTATCGATGTCGGCGCGTAATTCGATGATCCTGTGTGTTCAGTGTTTGAGATAGCTCTCGTGTGATATAAAAACCCTGTGGTTTTACCTCGCATGATTGTCTTGATACTCTGACCTTCACATCCACTGCAACTCCAGTTTTCAAATACTCGTCAACTTCAGTTAGGATTACGTGTAACGCTCGTATTTCTTCATCCAATAATGATGAAAATAATTTTCGTCCACAAATTGATGAGGACATGGCACGTGATTCCTCATAACGATCCTTCGAGATTGAGGAAATTATTATAAATGAAATTCTCAATTTTAATCGAGCTATTATGGAATCACGCACGAAAATATTTCATTGAAAAATCTAGCAAATTCGCTAAAAAAATCTATTGGATTTTGTCATTTTCAATACAATATACAATACTTATACAGCGACAAATAAATTATGGTGGAATTGTATTGGGAATTCTCTTAGTTTTTCGCCGATTCTATAGTGAAATTCCGCAGAATCTATTTTATAGAAATAATCAGAATTCCATCTTTCTGTACAATTTTGTCAATTGAGCCAGTTTTCTATAGGAATTCCACAATATGAATTTTCCAAGTTTTTCCACTCCACACTTCTTTTCTTTTCATTAAAAAAACTTTGAAAATTTCAGCCGTGAAATTTCTGAAATTTCTTTCATATGAAATCCTCGCATTGTGTTATCTAATTTCACAACTCAGTTGTACTGTGTGAACTTATGACTTATTGTAAACAAGAGTGATGGGAGGTGGATGACTTAAGGAGTTTGTTGGTGGCTCTTGACCTCGTCCAGCCTCGACAAACAACCGCGCAATGGGTTATCGGCGATAGCTTCAACAAGCAGTTCATCTTCATTAGGTTTCAATCGGAAAGCTTTTGTTTTTGTATTGAAATTAATAGTTCTGTACCAATCGATCAAGTCCAAGAATCCTGTGGGAATTACATTTTCTTTGACAATTTCGTGAAATATTTTTTTATGTATCTTGAATAGGAAAAAATAATACATTGTTTTGTTGATTACAGGAACAATCTCATTAAAATCAATCATATACAAAATTCAAAGATTATGAAAACTTTGCGTCGTGAATTCTCAGCCCAAAAGGAATGGAAAAATGTGAAAGTTGGCTTGAAGAATTGGTTCATTTTATAGAAACCAGATAACACAAATTGAGGCTGATCTGAAGAGGATAAATAATTTTAATAAATGTTTAACAAAACCCCTTCCGACACAGGAATAATTGGCATCCAAGCAAAATGGCGGTGCTACATCTGTCCACCACCTCGTATTTTTCAACATTTCTTGAAATTATTCAAGAGAAATTTAAGAGATTTTAATTTAAGGCATTATTAACTAAAGGAAAAATAAATTTTTCCAACTATATTCCAGCTTTCTTCATCTCCTTTTGGCTGAGAATTTATGGCGCAAAGTTTTCTCCGAATTTCAGTAGTTTTTTCACTGCCTTTTAATTCATTTCCATCAACTTTTTATATATTCTCTCTAAAATCACTGCTCTCATCTGAAACGGTTTATCTGTTTGTACCTCAATTACGCACTCCAATCAAATTTACCCACAACATACACCGGTACCTTTCAGCATCTGTACCAACAAATATTTGGAGAAAAAGATTTTTACGACGATTTCAAGGTTCAATTGAACAGTCTCGGATAGATAACAAAAATCATGAAATATCTTAGTCGCAATCTGGACCCTCTGTACATCAGAACTTGCAAAATATGCCCTGTTGTCGATTTTTCAAGCGTCAGAATGAGGTAAGTGAAGTTTTCAGAACCAGAAATACAAAAATCTCTGTTGATTTTTTCATTACCCAAGACGTGGGACATAATAAAGAGGTCATTCCGACCAATATGATAACTCGTGACTTTGAAGTGGTGAGGGAGGGTCTCCTCACTCCCCGTTAGCAACTCTACGACGTTCGGAAGGGAAGTAGCCCATTACTCAACAACTTTTAGTACAGTCTGACTCATAGATTTCGTACCTAATACATGAGAAAAAATGTTCTTATGCGTGAAAATCACTGTTAGTGCCAGCAGAAAAGCCTATTTATTCAATATAAAATTCCACTGGTTTTCTATTGATAATTCTATTGATCAACGGCCGATTCTATTGAAAAATTTGGCAGCTTATTTGCACGTTTTTTTTAATAAAAAATATTTGCGCTGAGAAATTTCAATTGCTTGTACTGAAATATAAAATTCTATTAATTTTTTGTATAGATAAGATAAGAGGAGAAGCTGTGAAATTTTTCAAATGAATCGTCCAAGAACTAATAAAATGCTCGATAGAAATCCAACAGGTTTTTCAATGAAATTTTCCTACGGATAATAGTGAGAAATGTGGAATGAATGATAGAAGTCTATTCCCGATTAAAAATATTTTCAAGAGCCTGAAAGAGTTATGAATGATAACACTAGGTGAAATGATAGTAGTTGACGATTTGCGTGTATTAAGCCGAAAATTATGGTACTGTCAGTCGTCGCTCACCCACTGCGATAGTGAGTTGAGTTTATAAATTGAGAGTGAAGAAGTACAGGCTCAGTAATACAGTGACTCACATGAGAGATCACCATCGAACAATGGAGATTCATTCGATCATCGAATTATCCTGAAAAAAAAAATTGTCAGTTATTCCTGAAATATTGTAAAACCATGAGGAGATAATAGTCTCGTGAAATTGACATCCGCAAGTGCTGCGATACCAAATAGATAAAGAGTTGAATATAAAATTGTTAAAATGACGAGTGATAAAGTTGGAAAAAATATGGAATTCCACCATGCGTATCGACATCATCATCCCGAGGGCAGTGAGGAGGATGTCGATAAGGAATGGGAGGATTTCACGAGACTCATGGCTAAACTCAAGGAAAAGGGTGTCAATAGGCCCCACAGGTACAGTATTCTTCTATAATCCCAGAATAAAAACGACCATCAAGTGGTTAATAATAAGCAGTCGAATTAAATAGAATCTTCCAATTCTAGAAGACACTATTTTATTGAGAAATCCGTCGAATCTTTTCTACGCAGACACTTTCTATAGCAATTCCTCGACAAGAATTTTTCGACTTTTCCCACTCAATTTGTCTTCTCTTTTCATTGAAAAAATTGAGCAAACAAACTTGAAAAATTTGAGATGAGGTATTTCTATTGAAAATATCTCGGCAAAAAATGTTGTATTGGAAAATGGAATTCTATGGATTTTTTCACATGTTCTGAAAATCAGTACTTTTTTCTCTGCGTTCATCACCAGAAAAAAAATAATGTTTCTATCCTTAATACTATACATAATTGTACTAGACCGTCTCAAGCCTTCTACCCTTGTCCACCACCTCGAGATGATGAGCCACCGGAGTTTGATCCCTTCGACTACATTAACACAATCGTAAGGATACACGTAGTAGAAAAACAAAAATTGTAATTTCTACTATTTGCATGGTATAATAATTTTGAGCACCCTGCGCAGCTTTGCACCACGTAGCTTCTGAAATACTAGGTGTTATATGTATAAAACGACAGGAGAACAAAGATGCGGTGCAAAATAATAAGCAATTTGAAATGCTGCCAGAAACTAAATCTCGTAGATAGTAAGATGAAAATTCGTCTACATGTTTGATTGAATGTTCAAATGATCAAATTGTTTTATCAAAGAGAGTAAGTAAACAGCAATTTTGTAATGACAACAATAATATTTGATTGCATAACGACGTTTAAAACGTAATAAACAAAATAAGTATCAGATGACAAAGTCTATCGACTATTTGACAATTTTATTGAAATAGAGGAATAAAACAGCCAATACTAATTCATTTATGATGCATTAATCAAAATCACTAATAAATAGGAAAACTCTTTGAAATGTCGTTATTATCGAATTCTCATTAACTAGTTCTCAGCCCTGGAAAATTGTCTAGAAAAATCATAATCAACTGATTTTTTTCCTACTCAATGGACAAAATTTCCTCGTGATATTTTTTATAGCCGATGCCTCTAATCATGCGAGTGCAATTACATCCAATCGTTCATGTAGAAATAGGAAAAGCGTGGGCTCCATTGTTTTCATCCTTTTTCACTAGAGCAAACCTTGGTGAATACTGGATACAGGAGAATAGAAGAGAACGTCGGGATGACCTTGTCACGATGCATCAATGCATCAATGCACCAATTGTCACGCATCAAACAAAAAGAAAAAAACTATTTTCCATTTCTTTTTTGTTCCCAAGTCTTTCTAACGTGAAACTTCTTTCATAACTGATGACTCAATTCCAAAAAGCAATATGAAAGATTCCTCGAAGAGACATTAACAAACAGGTTCTGCAGAGAATTCATTCTCTGTGCGTTATAGTGGACTAATGCTAATGGTTCACTATTGTGAGATTTAATTGTTCCGGAATTTAACTGTAGTGATTAGAATTTGCATATGTAATAACTAACTGTGGAGTCAGGAATAGCTATTACTGGGGGAGTAATTACAGCTGAACACTATTCCATTTCATTTTCTATTCGCTAAAAATAATTATAGTATTCACTCAGATTTAAGTTCTTAGATGGTATCTTTATGTCTTTATATGTAGTCTTTTTTCATTATTTTTTTCCAAAGTTAAGCAGGTATAAGCAGGTATCAATGGAATTTCATGAATTTTTAACTCGCTCGTGAAATATATTTCAGGTAGATCGTAACAACAGGTGATAAATTATTTTGCCCCGATAACAAAGAATTTGAAGAAAAAAAAATGGTTTCGTTTTATTTTTTATTCCTTACTATTTTACTTTATTTCGACAAAATAAGATGATCCTTATCAATTTATTCATCGTTCAAACCAATATAATCTTGTACAATGGTAATTTATGTCTTGAGTGAGTAAAGTTCCGTACATTAAAAAAAAATTAATTTTCTGTTCAAAATATTTCACTTACAAAATAGATTTGGAGCATTTTTTCCTGACACTGCCCATTATTGAGATTATATCATAATAATTAATTAGTGTAATTTATTCCGGGCAAATTGACGATCAATTATTATTAAACATAGACTAGTTGAATTTATGGTATGCACGAATGACTAAAATTGGAGTAGGGAACGAGTGCCCAGTAGGACGTGGTCGACGTTGACGTCAAAACTGCGGCAATGACCATTTGATGAATTTAGCCACTACGTCTCCAAATAAAACCCATCAATTATAATAATAAAATCAACAGGTATCGAGTGACTTAATGACGACTGAATAATTGGTTCCATTCCAAATGAAACATCATCAACTTCCCTATTTATTATTTTATTTATCTTTCAATTTTTCCAATTTTTATTCAAGCTTGAAGACATTTCCGCTCATACAAACAACATTTCCATATGAATTTCATTATTATTTTCATTTGATTCTCATAATAACTCTATAATAACTTTTCATTCATGACCAAGGATTAATTATTTTTATTTCAACGTCATAAGTGAAAACATTTTGAATCAATTTTGATTAAAAAAAAAAAGATGATAGGACACTTTCCACTAAAAAATCTATTATTCTATTCAAAACATTAGCGTTGCATCGGCTAGACACACGAGGAAGTTTGTCTAGGTAAAAAGTATTGCAACCGGTGCCAAAAAAGCTCAAGATATTATTCGGTGTCATTGGTTGCCAGTCAAACGTTGGCTGCCGCTGTGAACACATCTTCAGAGACTGAACTATTTATTCGGATGAGATTGAGACTCTCAGAGCAGTGAAGTTTAATAGAACAGGATCAAAAGAATGAATTGAATATCAACAAGTGCAATTTTGTCATCATGTGTTGAAATGATTGAAATCACTTTAAAATATTCAAAAGTACAGATAAAAGTAGATAGTTGAGAGACATGTTGACGGATTTTACATTTGCGTGGACAAATCATTATTCCCGATGATGATTGTGATGAATACAATAGTGTCGGGTACAATAGTGAACTGAGCAATAATACCGACAGTTAAATCTAAAAATAATAATTGCCGAGTCTAGCCAAATTTCGATAAATCTAGGAGTTTAGGGGGCTGGTCTGGCGGGGGAGATTCGGACTCATTATTTTACGATAATAGATGTGGATGATGATATCATCGTATTTTAGAATAATGAATCTGACGATAACTTAATGAGACAAGGTGGTGAATAGGCTTCTATGCCGGCTACCGTACTCAACAGGGCATACTTCGTATGTAACGATGAGTATCCTGTAAGTAAATTTCGAAATGCCATCTAAAGATCAGCGTTTTTTCAAATAGTTATTTCAATCGAATCTGGGGACTATTCTTTGGGAATCAGAGAAATTGCGTGGTTAATTGTTATTTGCCTGCTCTTTTTGATGAAAAAAAAAAATCAACAGGTCCAGCGAATGCATGAAATAACTTTAATAAAGATTTTTGTAATTAATTAATAACCGAAATGTGGAAATTTTTCTTTGACGATTTTTTTCCGTCTAATCAGCATGTTGAAAAATCTATTCAGGTATATCAATTACGTCAATTCATTGCCGAACGGGATAAATTTTTCTGGCTTAATTTTCCAGATGTATGGTCGTTACACCAAGGACCTCGGTGAATTTGCGAAAGAAGAGGCACGCAGATTGAAATCGACTGAGAAAACGAGGAGAAAACTAGACAAAGTCAGAGCCGAGGAGTTGAGGAAATCGCGGAGAGGTCCCCTGTGTAGGAAGGTAGTTGCCCTAGTAGCTTTCGCATGGAAACACACGGGGGCGAGATTAGGGGAGGACTGGGTCTTCCTGGCGCTGTTGGGAGTCATCATGGCATTCATCAGCTATGCCATGGATCGAGGAATATCGATGTGTAATAACGGTAATGATCAACATTCACAACATAACACAGAATTTCTTGTTGGGAGAAAATTTATTTTATTTCTCTTGCAGGACATGATTTTTTTTTTTAATAAGAAACCATTTTTAAATAGTAAATACTTTGAGGAGTTTCTCTATATCTATAGCTAGGGCAATTAAAATCAGAGTGAGCAGCAACTAATTTTGCTAGTCTGATACAACTCAATGCAAATATTTTTCCTAGTGCATCAACTAATCCAATAATGATGATTTAATTTCAGCTCGAATATGGTTGTACCAAGACCTGACATCACACCCAGCCCTGCAGTACCTGGCCTGGGTGTCCCTTCCAGTCTGCCTGATCCTCTTCAGCGCGGGTTTCGTTCACATCGTAGCCCCCCAAAGTATCGGCTCGGGAATCCCCGAGATGAAGACAATCCTCCGAGGTGTTGCCCTCAAAGAGTACTTGACTTTTCGCACCCTAGTGGCCAAAGTGATCGGCCTAACAGCAACCCTGGGCTCGGGTCTGCCCCTCGGAAAGGAAGGTCCCTTCGTCCACATCGCCAGTATCGTAGCAACCCTCCTCTCAAAATTAGTCACATCCTTCCAGGGAATCTACGAGAACGAGTCCAGGAACTGCGAGATGTTGGCGGCAGCTTGTGCCGTTGGTGTTGCTTCCTGCTTCGGCGCTCCTATCGGAGGTGTTCTCTTCAGCATCGAAGTAACAACTGTATATTTCGCCGTGAGAAACTACTGGAGAGGTTTCTTTGCAGCTGTTTGCGGTGCAACCATGTTTCGACTGCTGGCAATTTGGTTTCAGCGTGAGGAGACCATCACCGCAATGTTCGCCACCAACTTCACCATGGACTTTCCTTTCGACCCGCAGGAGCTCTTCGTTTTCGCACTCATTGGAGTTGCCAGCGGTCTGGGAGGCGCCTTCTACGTCTGGCTCCATCGACAGTACGTTATCTTTATGAGAAAGAACAAGAGTATGAACTCATTTCTCCAGAAGAACAGGTTTCTCTACCCTGGGATTGTCTCGTTGATAGTCTCCTCGGTGTCCTTTCCAATGGGCCTGGGACAGTTCATGGCTGGAGAACTCAATACTCATTATCAGGTCCAGGGACTCTTCACTAATTTCACGTGGAGCAAACAGCACCTGAGTGTCGAGGAGATGAGCATCGTTAAGCACTGGTCGACACCTTATTCCGATGTCTTCCTGGGGCTCTTTGGATATGTTCTTTTTACCTTTGTTTTTTCAATCATCAGCTCGACGGTGCCGGTACCCTCCGGAATCTTCATTCCGGTTTTTAAGATTGGAGCGGCGGTGGGGAGGATGGTGGGGGAGGCTATGGCTCTTTGGTTTCCCAATGGGGTGAGATATGGAGGAATCAACACACCCATCACACCAGGTAATTTGCAATTATTCACTCGGGGTCATTTTTTAGATTTCGAGATATTCCTTGAAAATTTGTCAAATTAATTTTTTCTTCCCTCAACATGGATATATAATTATGTTCTTTCTTTCTTTCTTTGTCCAAAGGGGGATATGCAACTGTGGGTGCAGCGGCCTTCTCAGCTGGCGTCACACACACAATATCCGTTAGTGTTATAATTTTCGAAATGACTGGACAAATAACTCACATCGTTCCTATTATGATAGCTGTTTTAATAAGCAATGCAATAGCAGCTTTATTGCAACCAAGTATCTACGATAGTATTATTCTTATTAAAAAGCTGCCATACCTTCCGGACTTGCTGCCTTCAAGCTCTGGTAGGTGTCATCACTAAATAGTCTCATGGTTTTTCCACATCATTTGAATGCCATTAATTCCCTCTTCTGTCATTTATGCATTCTTTTTTTTGGATCAAACTTGGTGAGAATTACAACCATTATCCATTCTCTGCGCTACAGTTTCCTTCATTTAATTGAAGTAGATTCTCTCAACAAAAATAAAATAAATAACATTTTGTTTTTTTATTCAAGGAATGTACAACATTTACGTAGAAGACTTTATGGTTCGGGATGTCAAGTACATTTGGCATGGAATAAGTTATCAAATCCTCAAGGAAACCCTCAAATCTAACCGTAAATTACGGGGATTCCCCCTAGTTGATAGTCCTGAATCGATGATACTTCTGGGATCAATTCAACGCCTGGAATTGATCAAGTTGATTGAGAAGCAGATTGGACGAGAGCGAAGACTTCAAGTGAGTTCAAGATGGAAGTGTTTAGATTGTTAGATGTGTCGTTATTCTTGATTATTATTTGTTATTTATTCATTAACAGATAGTGAAATGTTTGTACCTTTTTGTGTAGAGCTAATTAAGGGCTACAAAAAGGTCTGTTTGAAACGCAGCAATATATTTATCAGTCAAACAGTCGATCCTATCGACAATCACACGTACACCAAGTGTATCATTACGTGACTTACATCAACGAATTGAATTTAAAAACAATTATCAAGTGACTAATCAGTATATTATCAAGTCATTTAATTAATAGTGTTTTGAGAAATTCAATAAGTCAATATCATTTAAGCTCAGTGTAGATAACATAATCGATCCACAAATATTTTCTATAGAATTTCTTCGTCTCAAATTTTTAAAGCTTTTTTCATTCTATTTTTCTTCTCTTTTCTTTTCATTTAGAAAATTAAACAAAACAAGTTGGAAAATTTGACCCAAGGAAATTCTATAGAAAATATCTCAATAGAATAAGTGCATCATGAATGTCAAAATCTCACTCGCTTTTCTTTTCTTTTTCTTTTTTCTATTTTCTCTCTTTCTCCCCTTACTCTTTCTTCTCCCTGATCTTTTTTTCTATCTTTTTTTCTTTCTATTGAGAGCCCTTCCGCTGGTTTTTGGATCGTCTTTTGACTACTAGCGGTGTTCACCATGCATGGTTTCCATTTTGTCTTATATTTTTATTTTGTCCTTCTTATAGTGCTGTTCACTATTCACAGATATTTTTTGCTTTATTTTTTGCCCATTTGCTTGTATCTTGCTATTGTGACTTTAGTCATAATTATTTTGTCTAACATAATGTACAGTTAATAAATAATCAATCAATCAATCAATCAATCAATCAATTAATCGTTCAATGCCCTTCCAGGTGGCTCAGAAGCTCCAGAAGGAGGCAGAAGAGCGCGCCCGAGAAGAAATAGAGCGCCAACTCCGAGAGCAGGAGCGAACACGACGTCCATCGCGTTTCGAGGTGATTCCCGCTCCCGATATTTTGAAAATCCAACGACAAAGTGTGAACGACCTCTCGACAATCCCTGGAAATCAGCCGGAGCATCACACCTACCACACACCGATGTTTGGTTGTCAGCCGAAAAAGTCAATACTCAAGAAGACAAACTCCTTCACGCTGAAAGGCTTCAGCCCACTAGTGAGTCCAGCCGTCACGCCGTATACGACTGTAACCGGGGCTGAGAGCAGGATCAGACTAGCCTTCGAGGCAATCTTCAGGAAGTCAGCGACTCTTCAAGATGTCGAGCCCGACCCGGAAGTGGGAATTGTTAACAGTACGGCTGATGAATCCACTGCTGGTGTCAATCAGCCGATGCTACCGAGCCCCGCAACATCCAAGAAGGTTCAGCTGCCTAGGGAACGAGTCATTGATATGTCCGCTGAAGACCAGAAGATCTGGGAGGAGAGCGAAATGGCGAAGGACGTTGATTTCTCGAGGTGTCACATTGACCCAGCGCCCTTTCAACTTGTCGAGAGGACTTCGCTTCTCAAGGTTCACAGCCTCTTCAGCATGGTTGGCGTCAACCATGCGTATGTAACTGCCATTGGGCGGCTTGTTGGAGTTGTGGCGTTGAAGGAACTGAGGAAGGCTATTGAAGACGCAAACTCTGGGGTTTTACCAGCCCACGGTGATAATATTCATCCCGTTATTTCAGTCTCTGGTTTAGGAAAGCGGCAGGAGTCAGAGGATATCAGTGACGACAGAAATGGGGGGGAAGATTTGCAAAAGATTAATTCTATGGATGATGAGGATGACAAGGATGATCGGGACAAGACGAAGGAGAGTGCGTAACTCGACAATTTTTTGAATGTTGGATTCCGTCTTCCTTCGGATGAAGAACATCTTCTGTGCATCCTTCGTAAATTTATTCAATATTTTTATTATTATTGAACAGTGTTCAACATTAGAGTTGTTTATTTCAATGCAGACATTGTGATAGTCTCGTCCATCGATGAGACCTGATTATAAGGCTTCGATAATGTAATCATATCCAACTGTTATCATTCATTATGACAAAGAAGCACTATTCGTAGTACTCACTATTGGGGAAATTATGCAGACACGTTTGAGATATTTTACACTAATTGAATCGCGAATGAAGAATGAACGAATAATTCATTCGTAATAATTTGTATATATTTATGTTGAACATGTATTTGAACATCTCAGTGTGAAGTTTTGATGTATGTCGTGAATACGGTTGTGTCAATGATATTTTTATGCCATTATGAAGAAGCAGACGCGTCGATTACCAAATATCGAACAAATAATTTATATAGAGTTATATATCGTGTTTTAAATAAACTTTACAATCGATGAATTTTTAGCTAGGGATAGGCATAGTCTTTAGGAGACTGGTTTTACATTCCATCCAGAAGGAAGTAAAGATATTGAAATGAATATTGTCGACTGAAATAGTTAATGCTAACGACACTCATCAATCCGCTGAATTATACATCATGTAGAATTGAATATTTGTAAATATATGAAGGTAATTTATTGTACAAAATGTTAACGTTGCAAATTTAAATAGTGTTGCTGGTGTTTGTTATTACCATTATTTTTATCTAGTTGAGGGGTTTCGAGGGAGAAGTAGTCATGCAGACACTTGGTAGTGACGCCTGGATTGTGGAATGTCTCGTCCTGCTCCGTTTAATGCAGCGCTCAGGATAATTCTGTCATCTTCATTCTTGAATTGTAAAAAAAATTAATCAACAGTACAAATGAAAAAGACAATCTTTTACATTTTGTTAATTCATTTCGATGATGTTTACAGCCGTTTAGAGCCGTTTTTTTTTCATTCTATTTTTCTTTTCTTTTAATCGAGAAAATTGACTGGAAAAAAAACTTGGCAAATTTGACCCGAGGACTTTTTGTAGAAAATGTCTCAATAGAATGAGTTGTAGAGAAAAATTAATTTTTTTTAATAGAATATTTTCTATTGAACATTCCAATAGAACTGTCTAGCGAATTCGCTAGGTTTTTCTATTAAATTTTTTCACATGTATTCCCCGATAATTTTTTATAACTCAAAAAGTAAAATCATCAAAACCCAGGAGAACAAGAATGCAAATCCCACCTCTGCTGGGAAATGGAGCCGCAAGAGATCAAGGAAATATAAAATATTTGCCATAAGAATGATAAAAAAAACTTGGTTGGCTGGTAAAGTGAACGTGAGAATGTCCATTCGTCAATCTTTGACCAATAGAGATTAACACCCGTAACCAGATTATGGAATCACATGACTCCAGTCACATGTGCTTTGTTGACGTGAAATAATAATAACAATGATACCAGCACGTGACGAATCACGGGGTATTGATAAGATTTTTTTTTCACGTATTTTATTCCCCCCGTTGCGCTCTCTTCCCCTCTACTCGTTTTACAGTAACATTGCCAGAATGTTAATATAATCTTCGACCCCAATAGTTCATGGAATTTTTTATCTTTGGCAAAACTGTACAAGACAAATTGACCAATGGTTTTTTATTCACAAAATTATTCTCTACAAGAAACATCTCAATTTGAAGTTTAATTATTTCAATTGCAGGAAAAAAAAGTCAAGAAGCCATTCGTTCGCGAGATATGTTGAATGTAAGAAAATTTGATTTTTGTTTGAAATCAACTATCGGTAATTATAGGTTTTGAGAGGAAATTTCACATGAGATAGATTGTAGAAAATTTCTTCAGCTATAAAAAAAAGTTTTCTAGTATTTTTTCATAATTCTACTCGTTCTCAGGATATTTCGAGTCGAAAAAAAAATATGTTGACATAAAATTAAAGTTCGTCATTCTGTTCAATAATCAAAGCCTAGATATTCCCCATCAAATAAACATTCCCGATTCCTTATATTGAATTGAACTCATCAAAAGGTTACGAGGCACACGCCAGACTATTGTCCCAATAAACCGCAAACCGTTGATTACCTAATTGATCAATAATCTCCCGGCCATTCAGTGTAATTACCATCATCCTGCAGGCGGCACTGTCCAGAAGATCTCCCTCCGCCTGAAAGAAAAATCCTTGGATCCATTTTTTTTTCTAAAACCTGTTTGCACATCTTCAGCTGTGCGTTATTGGCCTCCTCAAGTTATTTTCTCCTGCCGCACTTGAAAGCGTCACGTGTGTATCGATGAATGCGGCGCAATCTCGAGGCACAAGGTGTTTTGATGATGCAACGAGCTGAATATTTAGGATTGAATTATTCACCAACGGAATTATTGCATTTCCCCTTTTGTTTTAGGGAGAGTCCTTGATTCTCCGTATTGGTCACTCTCTCTGGGAATTATTATTATTATTATTATTATTATTATTATTATTATTATTATTATTATCATGGGTTGGGATTGGAGAGTGACTATTTAACGGACGTGCCTCGTCGGTGATCCAGTGTGAGGACCGCGTGCTACTGCATTTGCATTCGCTCTCGATTCGCAGACATGCCGGCATCACTCATCAATAATTACGAGACGTTTCCTACATCCTTGCTGTGAGTATACAGGGGCAGTATTCTCGACGTTGGTGAATTTTCCTTCTATTCACGCATAAATTAACGTTCGTAAATAGGGACAATACATTTTTTCAAGTCGATCAAATTTCCCTCTCATCAACTTGTTCTCTCAATCGTGCCCACAATAATTTTTCTGATACTGCACAAGAATTTTCCTGGTGATGATTAGTAGTAAAATTGTTCTCAGTGTTATATTCCACAAAAAAATTGATTTTTACTTGGTTCATTGACGTTAATGATGAATTCAAAATTATACGTCACAGTAGGGAAGTCACGTCAAGTTGCATACGTGCGGGAAAGGCAGTACGCATTGACGGGAGAGTGAGAGACATGGCGGTTTCCCTGCTGCGCCATCACAGCTTGCCTGAGGCCTTTGAAAAGATTTCTTTTTTTCATTTTTCCACTATTGGAAAAAAGGTCACATGCGCTAAAAAAATTGTCCTCAAAAGTCAGATCAAAATGATTCTGCAGAGCTCAAATCGTCCAGATTTCATGTTTCCTAAATTAGGTTTATACGAGCTTTTTACCACTTGGTTGACCTAACAATTCAAAAATGGTCAATACGACCTTTTTCCATTTAGCGCGCGACATGTGCGACGGGGATTTTTCAAACCCGCCGCACTTGCGTCGAAATACATATACTATGATTCGCGGGGGAACGAAAAAAGTGACGAGACGTTTTTCTGTTTTTTCCAGTTCGAAAAGAATTAATGCATTTTTCCGAGGTCGTTGATGTTGCACTTTCATATCACGAGGATTGAGCGTGACAATGCCCACACCTGCATCTCGTGAACGGGCGTTGAAACATACGTCGTTGAGGTAAATGCTCAGTCCCAATGAATTAGAGATGAGCAGAGAAAAATACGCATTTTTCTCAAATCACTTGATGTTTCGCTTGAAGTGTTCTTCGCAAAGAAAAACAATTGATTAGGTAATTATTGATAGTATTGTTAATTGATACGTATTAATCAATTATTGAACCATTTTTATAAAACATAAAATAGTTTTATAAAAACTAGTCAATAATCAAATCATTTTTGAAAACGAGCGAAATTTCACGCTGATCCATTTTACTCCAATCGTGAATCTTGAGATTGACCATCTGTTTACTATCATATATCATATTCCTCCCGTTGTCGATACCCACGTCTCATCATCGTGAGCACACATCGGCTTAACGACAATAACAGATAAGAAGTCTCTTCTCTCTTCGTCTCTCAAGCATGATTTTTTTTCTTTCTCTCTGTTCATTTTTTCGAGATGGAAGTACGAGCCGCATAGCAGAGGAATTTATCACTGATGACAAGCCTATATTGTGATGATAAAAAAAATGGGAACAAAAAAAAACATTGGCATTAATTTTAATGAGAAAATTCATTAATCATATTCGATGGTGCGTAATTAACAAATTAAGAGCGTAAAATTCAATGTTTCCTTTTCTCATCTCCAATGTATTTTTTGGAATCCCAACATGAGATTTGACTCATTAGAATCGCTCATTATTTGCTCAAGATATCAACCATAAAAAAATAATAACATTGCCGATGTAAAAAAAATTTAATGATTTTAAATTCTTGGCAACTTCAAATAGGCAGAGTGAAATTCCCCGGGTTTCCCCTTCATTTCGATGATCTCTCTTCAAACTTTAAAATAAAATTTGACTTATCCAAACAGCACCCAGTCTTCATCTATCAAAACAAAACCGTAGTAATCTTCAATTCTTCATAACTTGAAGTAGACAGGGTGAAATTCCCCGATTTTTTTCCAACTCCGTAAAAAATCAAACTAGACAAGACCGAGATCAGAAAAATAAAATGACTCATAAAAATCGCCGGACGTGGCAAACGTCCAAGGGTGAAAGCCTATAAAAAATGTCACATGACAATCGCATCCCCTCCCCCGCCCGACCTAAAAAAAAACCCAAGAACGTAAAAACGAGGGGCGAGACGGCGGGAAAATCCACTCGTAGCGCTTTAGACCTACCGACGACGTTTTTTAAAAAAAACTCGCGTGTATAAAGAGCTTTGACGGTTAGTCGTTCTCGAGACGCGATTGCATCCTCGATGTGTCACGCTCTCGTTCCTCAATTGAAACCGCCAATAGTCCGAACAAAAGCTTTTGTCACCCAAAAAATTTAAATTTAAAAATCAACTCTTGTACAAATGAATCGAGATCGACGAAAAAAGTCCCCCAAAAGTCCGGAATTTCTTCAAATTTTTCATCACTGATAAATTAATTTTTTTCTTGCAACGATATCAGTGAGTTTCATAAATTGTGATATAAAATAAAATCAAATCCTCTAGTGGGTGATACTGAGAATGTCAGAGTAAGTAGATAAAATTTTCCGTCCATTATTTTTTTATTAATTCTTCCGTATCAAGTTTGATCGATGATTTATTAATCTTTTGCAAGTGTTACACTTGACGTATTTACCTTCGAGATAACGTCACTCGTCGACTATTTATCGATAGTTATGCAATGATGTGTCTATTGAAGACTAATCGAGTAAATAAAATTTACAACAATAACGAACGATTAAACCTAATATTTCGCGTTAAAAATTATGTTGAAAGCAGCAACAGTTTTTCGTCAGAAACAAGTTTTCAAAACGCGCTCCGTTGATCAACGAAATGTTACGAATAATATTAATATTTTGATGAATGATGAGAGTTGGTGAGAGTTTTCCCACACGAAGGCCTAGATTATTCCGGCAAGTTGTTGACGATTGAGTTATCGATGCGCGGCGATACGAGTAGAATTCCGGCTTACCTATAGTATAGCTGTATTTTCAGTAAATCATGGGGCAACGGTGGGGATGAGGAGCACGTGCCCGGAGTGCGGCTGTTCTGACACATATAATATGCGTCCTTGCTATCGTGAAAACCCACACAGCGCGCTGAAAATGTATTAAAATAACATCCAACTGACCAATTGACCAAATGGAATAAAGAAGAGCGAGTGATAAAATAACAGCTATTAGCTTCCGTACATAAATGACTCGAGAAAAATGAGTCATTTTTGTTATTGAAGTGGACAAACTTGGAAAACCTAGCGAATAACTGGCTAGAAAATTCTATTAAACTTCTATTAAAAATTTTAATAATTTAATTTTCATTTTAATTTTCCAATTTTTTTTTATTTGATTTTTTTTTATTGGAAATGGAAAAAGTAGAGTTGGAAAATTTACGTCAAAGAATTCCTATAAAAATGTCTCAATAAACAAAAATTGATGGCAAAATAAAATTCCACCAATTTGTTATGCAAAAAAACGCGCATTAAAGATACACAAAGATTAAGTACAATTCAATACAATTTTAGACCTATACCACCACATATCGACTTCAATTGCAGTTCACTACAAAATTCCGTTATCTCAATTGAAAATTGATTTCCATAACTATCAATTCTGAATAATTTATCCCATCTACTCGGCCTCGACCGAATGTTCAACAGTGCAAACGTAAAAACTCGAAATATATTTTCCTTCATGAAGAAATAGTCCAGTGTTGAAGCTCAATCGAGTGTAATTGGGTCAATAGAGGAAATTCCCGCAAATTTTCTCACGCAATTGAGACTTATCAAACAATGACATTGTCCAGATATTCTAATCGACATCCTTTCTAATTTCATTTGTGTTTTCCATCCACCAGGAAAAATGGCGACAGTCGAGCGACGGAGGAGAAAGCCACCCTGATGAACCATAATTCACTGCCCAAGATCCAGAGTATAAATACACCTGGGGACCCTGAAAATGGAAAAGTTCCATCGCAACAGTTTGGCAGTTCCGTGAGACAAGTTTCCGCGGCATTTGTAGCGCAATTGGGAACGGTCAACACGGGAATGACTTTTGGATTCTCAGCGATAGCTATTCCACAGCTCAAAGCTACCACAACAGCTATTGTGGACAGTTCTACTGTATTAAACGATACCAATGGCAATTATTTCAATTGCAGTATTATCAATGAGACTTTGTACAACTGCAGCACGTATTCGAGTGCAATTAGAATTGATGATTCACAGTCGTCTTGGATAGGTAAGATTTGAAATCCAGCTTTTTATCTTGAATACATAATAATTACTTTTGTTAATCTTGAAAATGACATCAGAAGATTATGAGGATTAAAGTGGAGCGATTCTCCCTTCCCCACTTTTTTCTGAAAAACAAGATGCGGCATCTAATTCATTTGGACTCCAGTTTTCAGTTCGCCATATCCCTTTTAATATTTATTTGCCCAATAAAACTAATCCCCCAATGTCTTTTACTGTTTATCAGCTAGTATGTCGTCAATCGGCACGCCAATCGGCTGCCTCCTAACCGGTTACTTAATGGATTACCTCGGTCGCAAGCGTTCCCTGATAATCACCGAGATCCCAGCGCTCCTCGGGTGGCTCCTGATAACCTTCGCCACGAGTGTCGAGGCCATCTACGCCGGTCGTTTCTTCGTGGGTCTAGGATCGGGAATGGTGGGTGCCCCAGCGCGTGTCTACACCAGTGAAGTAACCCAACCGCACCTCCGAGGAATGCTGACCGCCCTGGCTTCGGTGGGGGTGTCCACAGGGGTCCTCATAGAATACGCCCTCGGGAGCATCCTCCACTGGAAGATCTGCGCGGCAATAAGTGCCTTGATTCCCCTCGCAGCCCTCGTCCTGATGTTCGCCTTCCCCGAGACACCGTCCTACCTCATCTCCAGGAGTAGACCGGAGGAGGCGAGGAACGCCCTGAGAAAGTTCCGGGGGAGCAATTACAATTTGGACAGGGAGATGGAGACACTCGTCAACTTCTCCACGAAGAACAACCTCAAGAGGCTGACCGGCTTCGGGGAAATCCTCCGGGCGCTGGTCAAGCCCAATGCTCTCAAACCGTTCGCTCTCCTTTGTCTTTACTTCCTGATTTACCAGTGGAGCGGGACCAATGCCGTCACCTTTTATGCTGTTGAGATCTTCAAGGCCTCTGGGACGAGCATCAACGGCTATCTGGCTACAGTGATCCTGGGGCTTGTCAGATTACTCTCCACCATTGCAGCGTGCATCCTCTGCAGAAGGTGTGGCAGGAGACCCTTGACGCTCATATCCTCCGTCGGCTGCGGCCTGTCCATGCTGGGACTGGGGGGCTACGAGTGGCTCAGGGAATACTGGGAGCATCATGACATCCAGCCGATCTGGACCTGGATCCCCGTCGTCTGCATGTTCTCTTACACGATCGCTTGTACTCTTGGATTTCTCGTTATCCCCTGGGTCATGATTGGAGAGGTCTATCCTGTCCAGGTCAGGGGCATTGTCGGGGGCTTCACCACCATGGCTGCGCACTCCTTCATTTTTATGGTGGTCAAGACATTCCCACTGCTCAAAAACACCATCACCGAACATGGCACTTATCTGCTTTATGGCTGCATCTCGTTTTTCGGCTCGATTTACTTTTACATTTGTTTGCCGGAGACCAAGAATAAGAGCCTCCAGGAGATTGAGGATTACTTCTCGGGGAGACCGTCGACGGTGGTGACGGGAAAGTTGTTCTGGAGCAGGACCCAGAAGATTGCAGCGGTGGGGAAGAATTGAAGGTGATGAGCGCTCAGAAAATAAATCCTTGTTTTGACATTTCAAAGATCTTGAGAGCGTGAGTTTTAAATTAAAAATTGTTTTTTTTTTCGATGACGGAGGCGAGAAGAAGGGATTGTTTTTGTAGTGAAGAAAAAAGGATGTAATACTGAGATTTATCCTGCATTCCGATTTTAATTGGAAAAAATTATTCGCGTGTAATTATTTAACAACTCAAAGTCATTAAATATATTTCACCGTTTTAAGCATTATCAGAGAGTCACATTTTGGATTCTCGAGAAATATCCAGTGGAAACTGCAAAACATATTATTTACAATTAGCAGTTTTATCTCAATGTGCCAAGGCTCTCCCACGTGTTCGCCGGATGAAGGCATCTAACAGGTGCTATTTATTCCTATCCGTGCTAAAATAGATAATATGATAATATGAAGTATCAATGTTTATGACTAGAGGTAGATAATGGAAGCTCAAATTGCAGCAGAAAAGGAACAAATGCAGCAGCGACTTATTTTTGTAAGGTAAATAAGAGATGATATAGTTGTACATAATTGTCTCAGCATGTACATATTTGTTCAAAGTGTATTCTCAGAAATTTCAGTGTGAAAATGGAATAGATTTTTTTTTCTAATAAAAATGGCTATTCAATTTCCGGTTCCCTCACGCAATTTTTTATACTTGATCATTTTACGAATTCAATCGAGAGAAATTTTTCCATCATTTAGTTTTTTCCATCTTTCTCCTCTTCCTCCTTGAAAAATTGTCCAATCATCCGAGAATGAACTTTTCCGCGCCATTTACTAGGTATTCTTACGTTATGGAGGATTTTTTATCTCAAATCTAGAAATGCTTTTTCTTTCTTGACTTCTCCTAGCTCTGCCTCGCCAAGATATTCAGCTAAAACAAGATTACCCCGCTATAAAATTTACTTATATTGATGCTTCTCATTGACGATGATGATAGGAAGTTTCAAATGTTTATGAGTTGAGGTAGACACTGCAAAGCGCAAATTGCATATATTTGTTTAAAACTGGCTCTTAGAAATTAGACTGTAAAAATATAATAAATATTTTAATTTTATAAAAAATTCTATAATGCTATCTCAATTTTTTGTCATTCATTACCCCTGAAAATACGTCACCATCGATAATTTCCAATCCAAAAGTGTCAAAGGCTCATGAAATTACGAAAGAATAATACCAGATGATGCATATTCTCTTTTTCAATAAACGTATATTTAATTAAAAAGTAAAAATGTAAATTATCAAGAACAAAAACTCTTCTTCAGCTGTTTTTATTTTGATAATTAATCCATTCTCGTCTTGATGGTTCTGGTAGTGACTTTATCCTTCTCACTGCAATAGAAAAAAATCAATAAAACAATGAAATTAATACTAGATCACTAATTAAATAGATAAGGACAGAATGGACAATCTGTTGTTGATTAATCTTCACGTAACTTTAAATTCATCAGAGAAGCGGTAAAACGGTTTAGAACATTTTGATTCGGAATCTAAAGCAGATATGAACATTTTAGTTGCTAATTCCACGTTCTATCTTCAAGCTTAAAAATAGAGGAAAATTCATTCAATTCCATTGTGCCCCACCCAACAATGAGATGAAATAATACTGACATGATGTGAACAACAGCACCCCATCCAGAGATAGCATCCCTATCGCAGGCATTGACGAGTGCCTGACTGATGGTCTCAAAAAGATCGTCAGGTTCAAGATCAGGTTCATAAACAGTTTCGCACATTCCGTAGAGTTGGTCCTCAGCAGTTCCCCCAACAACGAAGTCCTCGGGCTCGTTGATGCACCCGATGAGATCCATATTACAGATGTAAGGTTCGAATGTCTCCGGGTCAAGGCCAGCAATCATGGGCTCCACGAAGTAGGTGCCAAAGCGCTTCTCATAAAGCAGATTAGAAACAACGGATGCAAATGTCTTGGGGTGCATTCTGCGGTTCTCCTTGAGCTCGTAGAGATTCAGACGAAATCTCAGACGTTCCATAACGGTTTGAACATCAGTAGCGAGCCCGGGTATGCCCAGAAATAGATGTGGGCCCATTTCAAAGATCTTTTGAAAGTCACAGGTAATTGTTTGGGCTTGAATACCAAATCTACGATCGGCTGCTATAGCCACGCAGTTCTTGCCCTTCATTGCTATCATAGCACCCCCATTGTATGCTAGAATACTCTGAAATACAAGAGGTGAGAGGTGTCTTCATTCTGGCATTATTCGATAATTAACGCTACGTGAAGAATTCATTAATGAAGTGACGAGTAATTCTTCAATTGGTCAACATGCCTATTACTCCAATAGAACTCATTCAATGACATTGAAACAATGTCTTTAAAACCCATCATCCGCCAAATTTCCTCAAATTTCAATCACTAAAACGCTTTGTCATCCCAAGAGTGTGAATCTAACCTCGAAAAATCGCAAAAAACTCCTCAATTCCCCCCCCCAAAAAAAAAACCAACAATGAAATTCTCCATAGTTTCAGGCGAAATAAACTCAACAAAATAATTAACAATAATCCTCACCATTTTTACAGCTATTTAACCACCTTCTCTCTCAAATAAATAATCCCACTGCTGAATGATGACAAACAATCCTGTGTCTGTCTCAGCTCGCGGCAGACGCCATATGCAGTCGATAAAGTAAATTTTCCCCTCAAGATTTGTGACGTCACAAGTACGTTAATTCACAGCTCGAAGATGGCTGTCTAATGTTATTTGATGTTATTGAAGAGTGATATTAACGTGTTATTATTATCAATATCGAGTTGGAGTGGTAACAATAGGAGAGGCTCCGTTGGAACGAGAAATATTTGCTCTCGAGTGACTGTGGAATACTGAATATTCGGGGTTATTTGAGATTTTCGGAATATGATGGACTTATCGGGGTTTCGAGTGTGGATATTATTGCCATGCTGCTTCTGATCAGTGATCCTAGGAGCGTCAGGAACAAGTGGAATTGCTCAGGAGAAATCATAACGAGAGGTAAATCATTGTTCTTCAGTCAATATAAGGGATTGGGGATGTTTGGACGAGGGATGGGGCCTTTGGTGGATCCCTCGGGCAGTCAGCTGGCGATTTTTAATGCACGAGGTCATCTCTGATTCACTAATGCCTGGGGGCTCATGTAGGGCAAAACGGAACGCATTTTAGGGAGAATAGCTCAAGTGGTAGAGGGGAATTTGCAGATTTTCTTGTTCATATTCAGGGGCTTTTTTGGGATTGAAAATGGCACTTGATTCGCCCAAATTGGATCATTTTGGTAAGGAGATAGTGACAATTGAAGACGGTCCGTTTCTACCCCATTGTGTACTGTTTTCATTTTTTGGGTTTTTGGGTCGCTTCAGGGGACGGTGGAGGTCTTTGTCTGGGGTTTTGTGGAAGGAGGAAGCGGGATGGGAGGTTACTGTCGAGGGGGATATATTTAGATTTTTTTTCCACGATTTTTGCGAGTGTTGGTGGAATAGGATGACGGGGAATCGGCAAAATTGGAGATTGGCGGAGGGATTTGAGTTTTTCTTTTTTTTTTTCAAATTGAAGGAGTTTTTTGGGGCTTGAAAATAACACCTGATTTTTTTAAATAGGAGATATTGAAGATTGAAGAAGGACTGTTGTACCTGTTTTTCCTAGAATTGTGCAAAATCGGGCATGAAGGGGTGTCCAGGGGGATTGTTATTGGATTTAATTTAAAGGTTTTCTTCTCATTTTGAAGCCTAAAAAATTCCTCCCTTTAAATGGGGTAATGAGGTTTTGACAAAAGTATCTTTTCAAACTCCAAATTCATTCAAATCGTATAATTACAAGAGAAGTTCTTCATTTTAATTCATTTAAATATTTTTCGTAACAAAAAAAAAACCGTCGAAACACAAAGATTATTCGTAACGAGAATGAGAGAGGCAATTGGTTCGACGATGATTTGCAAAACCAGCAGACTCCTGGCAGAGTTCCAATAATATCGAGAGTGTAAACGAATTCCCAGAGTCAGTGGTTCAAGCACAACTAGAATGAATGTTAGTTCTCCCAAATAATATGAATTTTCAATATCACCTGGACATCCACCCGAAATAATAATAATTGTCCGACTTCACCAGTGAATATTCCCGGACCAAATGGTACGATTTGGATAACTCAAATCTCATAAACTCGAAAAAAAAAAATGGACAATGGCATTTTTCATAAATATGAGAATAGTAATTGTTGCTAATAAATTAACAATTTGCTTCCGAATGTATTCTCTATTTTCTTTTATGTCCAGAATTAAAAATCCTCATCCCCCCACAATGTCCCTAAAGCCGAAGAAGGTAGACTTTTCGCAGACCTGGGAGGTCCTCCAGGAGACGGTAAAGGGTGTGATAACCCTGGCGGACGTGCCCCGTTCAACGTGGAACGACCGTTTCTCAGACGTCTACTCTCTGTGCGTGGCGTACCCCGAGCCCCTAGCGGATCGTCTGTACAACGAGACAAAACGTTTCCTGGAGTATCACGTAACAGCCCTTCTGAGGATTGTCTCCTCAGCAGGTGATTCGAACCTCCTGCAGTCGTACCACCATGCGTGGACCGAGTACTCCCAGGGTATAAACTACCTCCACCGACTCTACCTCTACCTGAACCAGCAGCACATAAAGAAAACAAAGTTGACTGAAGCTGAGATAATCTACGGTACAGCATCGGCCAATTCCTCGGATTACCAGGAAATGGAGATGGAGATAGGTGAGCTGGGTCTTGACATTTGGAAGCGAACGATGATAAATCCCCTGAAGAAGTCACTGGTGTTTCTGCTGCTGGAGGGCATCCATGCCGACAGGATCGGAGGTGCCCAGCCAACGACGACAGACGTCATCTGCGGGGTCATCGAGTCGTTTGTGAGGGTAGAGGCTTACAAGATGAAGGGAGAGCTCGATATGTATCAGGAGATCTTCGAGGGGCCCTTCCTCGAGGCCTCCGGTGAATTCTACAACAGGGAGACGGTTGAATTACTCCAGCAGTCTGATGTCACCAGGTACATGGAGAGGGTAACCTGGAGACTAGCGCAGGAGGAACTCAGGGCGCACAAGTTTCTTCATCCCAGTAGTATCCCGAAGGTAACATGATTAAGTGACAAATTTCGATGGCACAATGCCTCAAGAGTTGACGACCCTCGGTTTGCCCCCCATCATTCTGATAATCCGAGCTTCACTTATACGCTTAACCCCGCCTACCCCTTCCAAATGTGGGGTGGTATTAACCTTCAATTTGACCCTCTTGTTTTGAAGTATATTTCATTTCATCTTTAGCATTTTACAAGTTTTTGTTTTTATCCACTGGGATAATGGGATAATGGGTCAAACTGAAGGTCAACTCTCCTTGGTGAAATAGTCTGGATAAAAATGTGAATCAAAAACCAATGGGTCGATCCTTTTTAGGTGCGCGCCTGTTGCGAAGAAAAAATGGTGGCAGCCCACGTTCTCTGGCTCCACGCAGAGGCCGAATCGATGATCGAGAACGAGAGAAAAAAAGACCTAGCCCTCCTCTACATGCTCCTGAGGCCGCTACCCTCTGGTCTCACCCCTCTGGTCCAGAAACTCACCCAACACATCACTCAGCAGGGCCTCAATGCAATTGGGCCCCTGCAGGGTGAAAACGTTCACATCCAGTTTGTAGAATCAATTCTCGAGGTTCATGCCAAGTACTCAGACCTCATTGAAGAGGTTTTCAAGAAGGATCAGGCATTCGTGGGTGCCCTGGACAAAGCATGCGCAGCTGTTGTCAATCACAGATCTACATCAAAGTCTCCAGCACGTGCCCCAGAGCTTCTCGCTAAATACTGCGATACTATGTTGAAAAAATCAGCGAAGGGTGTATCTGAGGCGGACATCGACGATAAATTAGCTAAATCAATAACCGTCTTCAAGTATGTGGACGATAAGGATGTTTTTCAGAAATTTTATGCCAGGTATGATGGTTGAATTATTTGTGTTCAGTAATATATAAAAAAAAATCTGTTTAAATGAATAGAAAAATTCCATATAATTTTACTTAATGAAAATTTGAAAATAATAAACTGTACAGGATGCTGGCCAAGAGACTGATCCATCAGCAAAGTCAATCGATGGACGCTGAAGAAGCCATGATAGATAGATTAAAGCAGACTTGTGGTTACGAATTCACCAATAAACTTCACAGGATGTTCACAGACATGTCTGTCTCCATGGATCTGAATGCCAAATTCTCAGCAAGTCTGAGAGAGAGTGGCGATGAAAATCAGCTTGGGATAGGGTTTGTTGTTTATGTCCTGCAGGCTGGGGCATGGCCACTCTCACTGCCACCATCACCAGGGCCCTTTCACATCCCCCAACAGCTGGAGAAGTCTATCGCGAGCTTTGAGAAATTCTATCATGCACAGTTCAATGGGAGAAAGCTCACTTGGCTGCATCATCTGTGTCAGGGAGAGCTCAAGTTAAATTATCTTAAAAAATCGTATTTGGTGACTGTACAGACGTATCAAATGGCTCTGCTGTTGCTGTTCGAGGAGTGCGGACAAATAACCTGCAAGGAAGCTGCACATTCTCTCAGGCTATCTCATGACCAACTGGTGAAACATGCCATGGGTCTTGTGGATTGCAAAATACTCAAGAAGGAGGAAGACAAGGAGCTAGAGGAGGACAGTCTTTTGATGCTCAATTTTGATTATTACAATAAGAGAACCAAGTTTAAGGTCACTGGGGCACTTCAGAGGGATCAACCTCATGATGCCGAGGCGACGCACAGGAGTGTTGATGATGATAGGAAACTCTATCTGCAGGCGGCCATTGTCAGAATCATGAAGAGCAGAAAACTTTTGAAGCATAATCAACTTGTTCAGGAGGTGGGGAATGACGAGATTTTTTTTTTGTCTTGGGGAATTGAAAATAGATTTTTGGGACAGAATAATCATTTTTTAGTCACAGTTGGGGATATTTTTTTCAACTGTAAAAAATTAATCATAAGATTCTTCAACTATATCACTCTTTCTTGAGAGATATTAAGAGGATTAAATCAATTGATTCTTAATTAAAAATAAAAACTATCTTTTTTAACGACTTTTTAACATTTTTATTTTTCCACAGGTTCTTGAACAGTCCAAAGTGAAATTCGCTCCAGCCATCGGTATGATAAAGAAATGCATCGAGGCATTGATTGATAAACAATACATCGAACGTACGCCAAATAGTGCTGATGAGTATTCTTACGTGGCGTAACCCAAGAAAATCTCAATTAAATATTCAATTCACTGTTTGAGGTATTCCCCGGAGGATAATTCAGTAGGAAAATAATGAAAGTCCATTTTTTCACATTGAATTATTTTCTAGAATTTACAATTACATGATGATTATTAGGGGACGGACACTGGGAAAAAATGAAACAACAGAGAAAACGAGTAATTCGCAAAATTGAGTTCAAAACCATCAAATGGTTTTGAAGATCAAACAGTTGAATAGGAAAAAGTCTCTTGAATTGCGCTGAACAGTCGTTTCGCTACATTTTTCTACTGAATCTGTCCACCACTAATCGATATCATCATCGGGGAGTACTTAAAAAATAATAAAACGTGAAACAACTCGAGGGAGGAACAAATTGTCTTTGGCTACTTCGCAACGGAGGTGAAGAAAAATCAATCCGTATAGATACTATAATGAAAAATGTAATATATACGTAATGAATAAAGATGAAATTACTATTTTATTTGATTTTATTAAACTAATTTCTTTGTGTATAATCGAGTAGAATTGCTCATTCATAATCAATAGGATCAATTGCTGGGACTAGGAACGCGGATTTTTCAACTGGAGAAGATCAGGGTCGAGTAGGGGATTGTCATCGACATCTGGGGGCTTGTTGATGGCGTTCATGATGAGTGGGGATGCTGTGGGGACGGTTGAGTAAGGCGAAAAGCCGGTCCACTCCATCCCCAGGTAGATCGGTGGGGGAGAGCCCAGTGGTGCTTCCAGCAGCAGATGATCAGCCGTCTGTTGCTGGGGGTTCTGCTGCTGCTGTTGCTGCTGCTGATGAGGATGATGGACTTCTGGGCACTCTGTGGGGGTCAAATGGGAACCCAGTTGGCCTGGCATCTTGCATTGTTTCTCTTGCTTTCGCCATTTGGCTCGACGATTTTGAAACCATACCTGAAAATTTTTGAAAAAACAATTTTTCATCTTGTTGAAGATGCATTTATCTAGAGGAAAATGTGATCCACTCACTTGTACTCTAGCCTCAGTAAGTTGGATCCTCAATGCGAGTTCCTCCCTGAAGAAAACATCCGGATAATGTGTCTTCTGAAAAGCCCTCTCTAGCTCCTCCAATTGGAAATTCGTAAAAGTAGTCCTATACCTTCTCTGCTTACGTTTTCCAACAGTAATCTGTCTTTCCTCACTCCTGGGACTCGTCGAAAAGTCATAAGCTGTTTCCAAAAAACAATAAACAAATAAAAAACTCAAGAAATAAATAAACAGAAACAACAAGAAAATTACAATTTTTTGAATTGTCGAATTAAAAGAAAACGGTTGTTAAATCATGAAAAAAATGTGAAAAAATTGTTTTTTCAAATTTTTAAAATGTTGTCTTACGGTTCAATATCGAGATTAAAATTCACACCTGCAAAGTTTGTCTAATAAAATCATTGTAAAATGGCCGAAAATTTGGGGTCAATTGAAAGCTTCGATGTTCGACTACAAAAGTAGAGAAAAAATATCCAAAGTACTTGGATATTCTTAAATTCATTTTGCCCCGATCTCCCCTATCCCCAGCTATTTCCCCCCTTGCGTTAAGCTAGCTTAATGCATTTAGGAATAATTTAATTGAGCCTCAAATTGCGTTAGACGTCCCCAGACCGGTTAATTAGATAAAAACAGCATGAAAATCTTGTACTCACTGAATTTAGTTGGAAAGCATACAGACGATGATTGCCCTGACATCAGACCAGCCAGTGCATTCGTCTGAAGATCACCACTCGAATTAATATCGTCTGTTCCATCGACAATAGCCCCAGTGGACACCAGAGGATCTCGGGGTGCACCCACCAAATACAATTGACGATCAGCATTAGTTTCTTCTTCTTCCTTCAAATCCATAGCGACGAAGAAATCCTCGCCCAAAGTATCGTGAGACTCCGTTTTCGTGATTTTATACCGGGGAATTCCCGGTCAATTTTCCCAATAAAAATCTCTTTTCATTCACCTTCTAGAGGAACATTATTTCTTCACTATTTTATCTCATTTTTACTTTATTTCATGTTTTTAAAATTTCTTCTTGTACTTTGAGGCTTTTAATCGAGCAATTATCTTCGATTAATTAAGCGAGGGATGAAATATTAATGAAAATAGACTTTACGAAATTAGAATAAATAGAGTTTAAGGCACTCAGTGGATTAAATAATGAAGCTAAAACAATTTGTCTCGTCGACAATGTGCTACCAGTGGTAATTGAATCACCAGTGTGTCGTCCTACGTTCTCTTCACTATCTCTATCTATACTTTTGATTTTTGTGCTCGTTTTTTTTTCTTCCTTCTTTTCTGACGCGTTTCACCTGGGTTTGGAGGTGCTTCACCGGTTAGGAACCCCACAAGGGCTGATGATGAAGACTTAGGAGTGAGTTTGAACCACGAATCGATAGTGTTTTTCAGGTGGCAGTGTTTTTGTTCGTGTAAGAGTGTTTTTTTTTGTTTTTGGGATTGAATACTGTTTTTTTTTTTTCGGGGGGGG